TACAACTATTTTTATGCAAACAAATGATAGCTTTATATTTTCATTGAAAAATGGTAAAATTCAAAATTCAATTCTCAATCGAGTTAAAAATAAAATTGGGTCTCTAACCTATTATAATTCTAATTATCAAAATATTTATGGTCCACAGTTTGGTAGTAGTGAATTTATGATGCATTCAGACGTTTCTGATTTTACTCAAGACAAAGGGTGTTGGTGCGGTTTTGATATTATTGGTAAATATGAAAAATTTATTAGAACAACCGATGAAATTTTTCTATTGTAGATTATGAAGTATTTAAGATAGTCAAAAACATTAATTTCAAATTAAAATAAAATTTTAATTATTTATAAATAGTGAAAACAATTTTTTCTGAAATTTATATCATTATATTTAAATTCAAATGTTAAAATTTTTTATTTTTCACGAATACCAAGATTAATTTTCAATGATAGTAAAAAATAAATGTCAATGGAAATATTTTGATATATTAAATTTGAAAAGGAATAAATGTAACAAAAAAAATGATTACATCCATCATTAAATTATTAAATTTGATCCTTATGACCAGGCTGTTATAAGTTAAGATCAAAAAATACCATTTACAAATATATACACCTAGAACAAATGGCCACCAAAGAAGTCATTGGATTAATAAAGTAAATTAAATAATATGTCTAAATTTTATCTTCTAGATCTGTTAATCTACCAATCAACTCAAATTCAAAATTTTCGAATCCTTGAAATTTTCAGGTTTGAATTTCCTTAAATATAAGTAAAATAACAATTTGTTAAATAATGATGCTAACGTTTAATGAATATTTTATTAATTCTAAGCCATTTATAATGGATCGAATTGCCATTGCCTTAATTGGATTTTTGCTTTTTTTATATATCGAAGATTAGATCGTGAATGTGGCTTTTTACGTAATATATCTTCAGATTTATTTAGACAGATCGAAACAAAAATGGCTTAGCGTAAAAGTTTAATTTGTTAACAAAATCATTAAATTTTTATATTTTATTATAAAACTTCTTATTTAATTTTATTATATTAATAATCAAAGCCATCTGCAAAGCCATGATTGCAATGTGATCGCTAAGCCATTATCTTAACGCCACGATGTAATGAAATAGAAATTTTGAATTGCATACATATTATAAAAATATGATCAACAATAGAGTGAATAATATATTATTTATATAAGTTTGAACGAGGCTTGACTTTAAAGTTAAAAATTAACCTTCAAGCCTTATTAAAATTCTGTTGATAAGAATGAGGCTCTGCAAAAATGGAGATATCGAATTCCGAAGCAGGAAATTACAATCTTAGATGAAACTTAACAAGAAAACAAAAATCAATAACTATAATTATATTTTTTGATAAAAAGGAAGTTTTCAAATGTCTCGGGGCTTGACAATGAAAAGTCGCATAATAAAAATTTCAATAAAAATTTTTTTAAGGAGAAAGTAAATCATAAAAAAAAAAATGAATGACAAAAGAAGGAACTTTCATAGACATTTCCAAAATAATATGCGGGAAAATAATATTTTTTTAAAAAAGCAAGATTCCCTACAAAAAAATCTTTACATATCCATTTCGAAAACTATTTAAATCCTTCTTGAATTCACCCGCTAAAAAAATTTCTTCACTTGATTCAATTAAAAATTACAAAAAGTAAGTTTTATAAAAAATCATACATTGCTATACCCAAAATATTTCAAACTCACAAAAATCCTTTTTTAAATTTCCTTACATATCTGTTATAATAGCATAGCATTGGACCTGAAGGTAATGAAAGAAGGCATTATTTTATAACGTTCATGAATTGTTTATTTATTTTAATTTATTTTAAAAAAATCCAGCACACGGAGCGTGATGCTAGAAAACGGTCCAATGGATCTCCACTCTAAAGACTAATAAGCGAATCTACCGATGATATTATTATCCATAAAAAATGGATTCATTATTACTACAAAAGTTTATTTAATTTATTTAATAATTTAATAATTTTATAAATTCATAAATATCAAGGATGAAATTTATTTTACCCAACTCATAGTTCACTTGCAATCCTTTGTTGAAAATGCCCAGTCACTTGAAATCTTTTGTTAAAAATGCCCAGTATATTTAATTTCTAGTTTTTTTCTTTCGCCGCTATATAAAAATTCTCTTTCTTTTTTTATTTTTTTTCATTTTTATTTTATTTTTATTTTTTACTTTTTTTTTTTTTGCGAAATATGCATACACTTCTTTTTCTGAACGAATACATGTGAAAATAATTGCCCACCCGTACCAGCCAAACACCCCTTTGTGAATAGTTCCCAGTTATGATAGTTTGATTTCTTTATATTTATATTTTTCCAATAGTAATAACCCAAATATTTTAGTTTCCTCCCTCTCTGAGCTACTCCTTGTAATGAACAATTTCTCAGCTGTGCTAATGAAAATTTGTTCTCCACTTAAACTTTTTTTTTTAATTTAAATAGCAGAAGACTTATAACAAGTAATAGTTACTTCACGTTAATGAATGAATAATGAAATTTCCCTTTCAAAAATATATTTAAATACATGTGCCATCAAGTAATTGTTTTTCCCCACTAAATTTGCCTCTCTTTTTATAATTTGTTTCTCTATTCTTTTCAATTTGTGTTTCAGTTTGTGCCCATGGTTTTTTCTCTTTTTTTACGAATGATTACAATGTCAAAGTTACACCTTTTTTCTTTTCTTTTCTTTTCTATTGATTTTCAAAATAAAATTTTATATTTACTTAAAAATTGTCCTGCTTTATATTTATTGCGAAATTGATCGATATGTTTTAAATTATTCTTTCATGTTGGTTTCTGATATAAATGACTTTTTAATAAAATACAGTTGGACTTTGATATATCTTATTTTAATCCGAATATAAGTTATATAATTTAAATGCAGCAAATATCATTCCAGAGCACATTATCATCTGAAGAAGCTCGCAAAACTGGTGGAACAGAGATAAAAGAGAACAAGTAGATATATAACTTATGGGATAGTTTTAATCTGTTACTCGAAGTTGGCCCTGACCCTAGGAAAATGCGGGGCACCTCGGAGAGCAAAGAATGATAACAGGAAAAAGCTCGCAAGCTTTCCCAATATCTGCCCTTAGGTACCCTAAGAAGAATCGGACTTCTTTATATTTTTTTACATTTTTTTACTAACAAGTTCAGACATATTTTTTACAATAGGAATATCATACATATATTATGTGTACATATATGGTATACATAGTAGAATTGATTATTTCTTAGAACTTTACTTTTCCTAGGATTCCTAAGGACACTAAGGAAAGAGATAAAAGAACATAACCAGTTTGCTCCAAATACACAAAGTCGATATCAATATTGTCCATAGGAACTGACCCTAGAAAAAATTTACATAAGCTTCTAGGAAAAATTAATTCCTTATAAAAAAATAGCGTGAATACAATTTATACTGTGTCAAAAAAATTTATATCAAAAGATATATGGCATTTTATCGTTGTGAGTATATCTTCAGAACTGGAGAGGTTCGCACACTTATAAAAAAATCCGTCCTAATAAAAAAAAAATTAACTGAGACGGTATTACTATAGAAGAAAAGAATTCTTGAGCTGATCAGAAAAGTTCTAGAGTGGCCGTCCTAGTGTCTTAGTTCGTCCCAAGAAAATTTCAAATTCTTTTATTATTTTTTTCTTTGAGGTATACTATATATAATATATTGGAAGGTAGATATCATAGATGTCGAGTTTTATTTTTTCCTAGAACTTTAGTTCTTACTAGGACAACTAGGAAGGATATATAATAAGTATAACAGAACATAATAAAAGAAATTTAGAATCTTTTCTTCTATAGCAATATCCGTCCCAGTTAATTTTTTACTAGGACGCGTCCCAATATAATCAAATTTCTTTTTACGCCACATACTGAATTCGGTTTGGATTCATGTATATTGTTCTTGTTCTTATAGAGAATAGGGGAAGTTACGTGAAAATATTTGATCTGCTGTTACATTAGCAATGTCTAATATTGCTTGAACCATAATCTCTTTCTTTGTAGCACTTAAACCTTCCATATTAGAGAGAGCAATTCGATCCAGTGTGACCTGTCGACGAGGGGGCATCTTCGTCTTCTGTTTCTGTTTCTATATCTTGTACGCGTTTTAAATATTTTTCAAAGTGTTCCAAGGGAGTAATTCCTTCTCCTAAACAATAAATATGACGCGAGCGGTTTAAAGGCATCCAATTAATTAATCATATCTTCTCAATAAAAATAAATAAATAAAACTTACTCCTCGATAAATCAATATATGTTCTATACCAGATTTCTTGGTGGAAATCTATTGCATAATATATAAAACGGCTTTAATACATACTAATAATATTTAAAATGGTAATAGTAAATCTAATCTCTCCCGTTCGACTTAATCTTTTTCTATCCCTCTAACTTTAAAACATTCAGGAGTCTCGAGAGGCAAGGGCGCTGAACGTTCAGTAGAAATCGCTTCCTCTAAGACTCTATGAGATATAAACCTGTATCAAAAGGATATCCTGTATTAGAGATCGTATAGTATAAATGTTTTCACTGATCATAATCTAATTTCATACCGGGAAAAGCGTAATAAGATTATAACAACCCGAATAGAAAAACATAAACAAGATGAAAGGGAGGTTAAGTAACAGAATAGGAATTATAATGATGAGAATAATTTGCATTTCTTTTTTGACGATTTATATAGTTTACTACATGAAATGTTTAAGAAAAATTGATATCATCGGATGAATAAAAAATATTAAATCTATTTTTGCCACATTGTTGGGTTACATACACATGATATTCTTTTATCTCATCAAACTGTTGGCATATGCTTTTGTCATCATCTGATTGGTCTTTCAAAAGACAAAAAAATCCGTTCCAGATCACTGGAACAAAAAAAACCAGCTGATGGGAAATTTAAGGCGACTGGAATCATTCATCCTAGTTTCCTTGAAAATCTCATTTTTTTATAAGTTTATTATTTATGTCTGATTTGTATTTAACAAATATAATACATGTAATATATAGCATACGTATATAACAAAGTTGTAACTGAAAAGTTTTGATTTTTTCTTAGAACTTTGATTTTTATTAAGGCGTCTAGGACGGAGTATCTCAATATTAAACTTACTGTATATAAAAATAATTATTCTACCCGAGATTGATTTATTGAAACAGCAAATTAATACTTTGCAAACTGCGCTTACATTAAATTTATTGTACCATATTTCTTGCCACTTATTTTTTTTTAAAAAATGCAAATCAATCATAAAAACAAACATGGGTACAAAGATCAGTTGCGAATGTAAAAAGCGAACACAAAATCTCCAACCTCGAAGTACGATGCAAAATCATCATACCTCGAATGCATCACACAAACCAGACCATGAATATTATTTTAGCACTTCGTACCTTATTTTTTACCGTTATTTTATAATCATATACAATGACAATTGCCTAGAATGTAACAATCTACTTAACGGGGGATATTGTATAAACTATAGACGTGACAAATGTGGAATCATTACTTAATTGATGATGGATTTAATCATTGTATTCATAATATTTATTGTATTTCTAGGTCCAAAGGATTATATACATTTATTTATTTTCGCCAAAAAAAAGAAATTAAATGTGAGGAAACATGAAATATTATAATCCCGATATAAATAAACATTTTATGAAATATACTTATATTTGAATTTGAATAAATCTATTTTATAATGTAGGAAGATTGGCTCCCTTACCACACTTTTATCTTGCTTGTGCCATGTTTTTTTGCTATTTAAATTTGCACAAACTCAAATTGGACTCAAATATGGGATCAAGCACAAAATCTTTCATACATATTATATGCAGCAAATGCGTTTGCTTCCACCCTCTAGTGGTGCACGATTTGCAAAATCTTCTACATTGGAGGGTGGAAACTTAGACTAAGTGGAAATAATATAATTATATTATTTCCACTAACCTAGCTACCCGATTTTCCAAAACTTTTTGTGCAGTATTCAAAACTGCATTCTCAAACTTAATTTCTTCTATATCTTCCCGCAATTCAAGTTCTCTATTCAAGTTCCTTAATATGATTTTTAACAATGTTTCAGCAGTTTTATGTATACTATTTTCAACCTGGCTTCATACAGTTGTTTGATGAGAAGGAAATAGTTAGAAATTAAAAGTCAATAAATTTCATTTTAAAATCCAAGAAAAAGTTTTTAATAAAGGAAGTCAGAGTGTATAAAAATATAATTAGCCGATTATTTAAAAGTTAAGATTTTTAAAAACATTTATCAAAAAATTTTGGAATTAAAAACTGACTAATAAAAATTAGTAATAGTTGTAAAAAAAAAGGCTACTTAAATCATCAATCTATTCATGTAATAATTAGTACATATGTGAAAAATGATCACAGCCAAAACACCACATTGTTGTAACTTCCTTTTTTGAATTTGATGGCATGTAAATAAAATAATAATATCAGATTCCCCGACTCTTTATCCAAAAATAGATCTAGTTTATCAGCTAGAAATTGACTGATAAACTGTTATTACTTTGCTTACCTTTTATAATTGGTTTAATTTTCGTGTTCTCATTTATTTGGATGCCCTTTGCCAAGTATATTCTTTAATAAATAGAATAAATACGTATTTTGTGAAAACCATATATACTAATATTGAGCAATGTCTCTTTAGACTTTCCATTTTATTCATTTTATTTAAAATAATGGAGGAACAAAATCCACCTGAAACACTCCAAAGCCTCCTCAAATGGATCAGGCACAAAGGTTTCTTGGTACGGTTCATAATTTTCTTTATATACATGAATAGCAATACATTTAGAGTGTTTTGATGTTTACAATGTGCTCTTATTGGTAATGATGATACCGACAAATTAGTATACGTACATAAAACGAATCGAGCCAACCTATCAAATTTTTAAATCCTCATGATGAACTCTATCTCACCCAATTTTTGAGGGGATGCGAGATTTAGACCAATAATGAAAACTACTCACGTAATTTCCTATCAAAAGTATTATGATAAAATTCGAGATGGATTCATTTCTTAATTTAATTTGTTTCATTTTTTATTGAAAATGGTACATACATCTTTTGGTAATTGCGAATTTTTAATGTAATTATTTTCTTAAGACAAAATTATTAGTAGATTATGATTTCAAAATTAATATTTTGTTTAAACTGTTAAAATTCATATTATATTTGATACGTGTCATCTACTTGTGTACCATTTGTAATTTTGGCCAAAATCATAAATTATAGTTTTTGACAACCACATAATCGCGCGAAAATACATTTATTTATTAGCAATAATATTTTTTTACTATTTCAAATATTGAACTTCGATAAAAATAGATTAAAATCATTATTCATATGATTTCTCTTTATAATCTTAACTTGTACATGATAACCTATAAAGAAGTTTTTTTCTAAACAACTATTTGAACTTTAAACTTTAAAATAGTTTAGTTCATGCGAAAAAAACTGAGCTCATGCAAAAAAATACTCCAGTAGTTTTTTATAGAATTAATAAAAGGAATTAACTCTTTTTACTGTGATTAGAACTAGAAGCAATATGAAGCTTCCTTCGGGCAAGATAGTCTTGTACAAAAATCGGAGACCATTTTTGATTTTTTTCGATAATCATTTACTAATTAATTGTCACGTGACTAAACGCTTCCCTTAATATATTTCTATACCTGAATTAAATATATACTTTTTTATTAATACTAAGTTCTTTGTTTTAAACTAAATTATCCTTTTGCATGCATAAAAGCCTCATTGACTACTTCACGTGCCCGAGGCTTTTGCCTTTAATTCGCTAAGCCATTTTGTCAATAAATCAATAAAATTTGTAAGTTTTTTCCCGATTGAAGTGAAGTTTTAAAAAAATCTAATATCCAACTTAATAATAAAATGTCCTTTAAATTTTTTGATAAGTTATCTAAAGATTTTTCTGAACTTCTTAATGACAAAAAAGAATGCAATGTTGTCATTGAAGTAGATAAAGAAGAAAATAAGAAACTATTTACTGCACATTCGGTTGTCTTACGTTGTCGTTCATCCTATTTTGATAAAGAGTTAGAAAACGCGGCTATGAATGAAAATCACGTTAAAACTATCAATAAACCAAATATTTCTGCTCAAATATTCGAAATTATTCTTACGTAAGTTGAAAAATTAAAAGTAATTATATCTAATATGCATAATTATAAATATAATTAACATATATTTTATTTACTTAAATATAGATATATCTATAGTGGAATCATTAACATCGAAAACATGGATCCCACTGCAATTTACGAATTAATGATTGTTGCTAATGAATTAACATTTGAAGAATTGTCAAGAAAATTGGAAGGTTTTCTTGTTGAATATCTAGCCTCTTGGTTAAAAACTCAATTCTCCCTTATCTATCATTCAATCTTCGATTATAAAGAATTTAACGTCTTGAAAAATTTTTATAATAATATTATTATAAAATCTCCAGGCATGATTTTTGAATCAGAAAACTTTATTTTTCTCCAAGAAACAACATTGGTTTCTGTTTTGAAAAGTGATAACCTGCAAATAGAAGAAATTAAAATTTGGGATTATGTTATCAAATGGGGAATTGAACAAAATCCCACGCTACCTACAAATTTGGAAGAATGGTCTAAAGAAAATTTCGACACTTTAAAAACGACTCTACAACAATGCTTACCACTTATTCGATATTTTCATATTTCTGACAAAGATATTTGGGAAAAAGTAAGACCTTATAAAAAAATCCTTGGAAAACAACTTTGGGAAGATTTAATTCAACATTCCATGTTCCCTAATCAACCGGTCAAATCTCCTGTTTTGTCAGCAAGATGTACGATAACTCCTAGAGAATTACCTCTTAAAGAATTGCCTCCTCTTAAAGAAAAGGAACCATTCTCAACCATAATCAGCGAAGAACATGCGGCGGAAATTTCATCATGGATTGATTGCCAATCAACTATTTATTCCTCAACAAAGATGCCATACGAATTTCAGTTAATTCTTCGAGGTAGTAGAGATGGTTTTCATCCCCGAACATTTTGGGATATATGTCATGGATATGCCGGTACAATTGTGGTTGCAAAGGTTGAAGAAACTGGTGAATTACTTGGTGGTTATAATCCCTTAGCATGGGATAATTCATTATTTAGAATAATATTTAGAGGTACATATATGGAGACAAATGATAGTTTCATTTTTTCGTTAAAAAATGATAAAATTCAAGAATCAGTTCTCAGCAGAGTTAAAGACAAAAAACGAGCTCTATATTATTATAGTCCTTGTCATCAAAATTCTTATGGTCCATGTTTTGGTAATTGGGAGTTTGTAATGAATTCAAATTTTTCTGATTTTACTGACGATAAGAAAAGTTGGTGTAATTATGATCCTAAAAGTCGTAAATATTATGAAAAATCTATTAGAACAACCAATAAAAGATTTTCGATTGTAGATTATGAAGTATTTCAAATTATTAAAAGACATTAATTTCAAAATTTAAAATTTAAATGTACTAATGAAGAATTTTTAATTTGTTATAATAATAGAATCATTTTTTTTAATAATAAATCTTTTATAATAATAATAATAATAATAATAATAATAATAAAACAACAAATCGTTCTCATGGGTTTTGAGGTCAGGTGACACTTGTTTATAAAGTATTGTAATATTTTTGATTGATTCTTCTTTCTTACTCGACCAATCACAAATATTTAGGTCTTCAATGTGATTGGATGATTTAAAGTTAAATTATTAGATTTGGTAATTAATTATTATTGCATGTTATGTGACATGTGCAATTTTTGTATTGTCATAAGAATTAAACGGGTTATTTTTTATATTTTTGTATTATATTATTATAATTTAAAATTGTATTGTTTTTCCTTTTAAAGTTATAGGAAAATCAATTTTTTGTTAATAAATTTAGTAAAATCATCTTCAACATCATTAATTCCTTAACGGTTGGATTGACAATAGTTTTTTAGTCAGTTAATTGTTTTCATAGAATTATTTAATTCTTTAGATCGCGTATTGTTAAACGATGTGTATTTATTTGAAAAGAAATCTCATCTGCCGAAAATATGAAATAAAAACGAAATATGGAGTTTCATATGTTTTTTAAAAAATGAGACGATAATTAATGATTTTCCAGATGAATTATTAATGAATTTCTTCTTTGGACAACAAAGTAATTATCTCCTTCTTACTTGTGATCTACATTATATCTTGCAATCTTGTTCACTAATTATCAATCCCTTCACTTCATATACAGATTTGAATATCTTTCAGGTTTAAAATTAACATGTAGAAAATGGAAATTTATCATAGCAATGAATATTAGATACGAACTAAATTATATGCTTAAAAATAAACTTAGTTTTAAGGTTTGTTATTATAAAATTTTTTGATATTAATTATTGCAATAATATTTATTCGTATAATTTATTAATAAATGTCAGTTTCGTACGAAAGTTCCAAAAATCGAAAAGCTTATGATCATACTTACGTTGGTCTTCTTGATTCCATCTTCGCTTATAATAACCCTAATGAATATATATTTTATTTATTTCAAAATCAGAATCCCTAGATGGTTGTGAAACCTTCTATAAAATCAGTATCCATTTGTTTTGGTTATAACTCACCTGTAAATATTTCAGAATGTACTAAAAAATATAAAGATTTTGTGATATCAATGAATAATGAAGGAGTAAATAAAGCTCAAATACAAACTTTTCGAATGATCGGCGACGAATTTTCGATGTTAAATTCAAAGAAAAATAATTTTAAAGAAAAAGAAGAAATATCATTAAGTAAGATTTTTTCGAAATATTTAGGGTTCCGTGTACCACCGTCCAGAGATGATTCGGATTTTAATAAATATTGGAATCCTGGGAGTCATGATAATAATGAAAAGAAATTCATCGAGAATAAATGCAGTGATATTAACAATAATGAAATAAATAATAAAAAAAGGATAAGAATTCATTCTCCTATAGAAAATACAAATAAATATGATAGAAAACAAGATAATTTTATTGAATTATGTTTTACTAAAGATTTAGCCATTGCTTGGCAAGATAACGATATCAATAATATTAATGTTAAAGATACTAAAAATTATATAAATTCTGAACAAAAAGACAAAATAGAAAATCAAGAAAAGATTGTCTATAGAAATTATTTGTAAGTTAGAATGAGCCAAGGTAAATTAATGTGGTGTTTGGATCATCGCCATTAATTTGATTTTTTACCTCTCTTGAATAATAAAATATGCTAATGTTAATATTTATTATTTTTAAAAATATCGTGCGCATTTAACAATACATTTATAGCGAAAGTAAATTATCTCTTAAATAAAATATTTTTATAGCTTTTGACAAGTTATTTGAAAAAAGAAGAAAATAAAAAATCTTTTACTGCACATTCAGTTGCCTTACGTTGTCGTTCATTCTGCTTTGAACGTTACGAATGAAAATCATTCATGAATCATAAAAATATTCTCAACGATTTTTTCTCAACAATATTTTTAAGAATTACATTTGGGAATTATTATTATTCGATCCTCTCATAAACGTGAATATTAAATTTTTCTTTACGCGAACAATCATTTGTTAAGTGTCTTCAAAATACGGAAAATGAAATTAACAGTATATATTTTAATACTATTAAACAACTAAATTGTCATTAATTTTATTTCCGGAGCGTAACGTAGGACATTATACTCATGTTTGAAAATTCATTTCACATTATATCACGTGATGATTTCCGGAACAAGAATCCAGTGACATTTTCCGCACAGCCGCACAAATATAGTTATTAATAACCGTATCATGCAAAAAAATCTCCTATTTGTTTGCTTTTAAATTTAACTTTGTTTTTCTTTGGGTCAAAATATTTTGCAATTTTGAAAAATGGTTACGGTGAGTTTTAATATTTATTTCTTAATTTGAGAATTTATTAATAAAAAAATAATTTAATCAAATAATATTAATATTAAATAAATGGTAAAATAAAATAAATACATAAATACATAAATATCTATATAGAATACATCCGAACCATCCGAATCTTCAACTTCATCAACTACAATTTCGCCAGATTTTCATAATCCTCAAATCCCTTCAACCGATGGTTTAATTCAAAGCGTCAAATCAATTTTAGAAAATTTTGATAAATGCTCAAATGATGACATTAAAAGTGATAATATACGTAAACATATCATTGCTACCTCGGAACAAGCAAAGAAATTTCGATTATTTACAATTGAATCAATTCAAAGTTGTGATCTAATGGGAAATTATGCATCAGATTTTGCCGAGTTAGTAAAAAAAAATATTTTTTTTAAATGTGAAATAACAAAATCACTAAATCTCTCGATTTTTATTTATTAGATATATCACAATTCTAATGGAAGAAAATGTTGCAGGGGTAGATTTTGTTGGAGTTATGAAATCTCAAATAGAATCAGCTACCATTAGTAAATCAAATGCTGAACGTTTAGCCACGAATTATTGTGATATTCTTGCTACATTAAAAAATTTATTGAATGAATTGGAAGGTTTTCCTAGTAAGATTCAAATTGAAGAAAATTTGGAGCAAGATATTGAAGAATCTAAGAAAGAACAAGCAATTCGTACTTGGTCAGCAGTTGGAACAGGAATTGCTACTGGTGCAGCAATTATCGCTGCACCATTCACGGGTGGTGCATCGTTAGCTATTATTGGTATGTTTCCCAAGAAAAGATTTATTATAAAAAAATTAATAATTATTATTAATTATAAGATATATTTTGGTATAATAAATATTTTTTGTAGGCACTCTTGGTTTAACTTCTGCTGGAGCTATGATTGGTAATGGATTTATATATTTCATATAAATTATATAAATCTTCAATTTATTTACTGTTCATTATTTATTTTTAATTTATTTATTTTAATTTATTTCAATTAATTAATCGCTTTAGGTACAACTGTTACCAGCGTTCAATTTGGGGAACAAGCTAAACTATCAGAAAATGAATTAAACCAATTTAATCAGATTAAAAGAAGCGTTAGGAATATAATAAGTGATATATCAATAATTATCGATAAATTTAGCTTTTTCTATGAGTTTTTCAAATTAGAATTGGAAAATATTACAAAGATTGAGAATAATTTTTCATATTTAGAGAAAGTTGATATTAAAGTTTCCAAGATGAAAGGTACAGCATTAAAGAATCAATGGAATAGAGTAAATCAAGTATTTAGTAAATATTCCAATGTGTTGAGACCATTATTTGTATAATAGCAAGTGAATTATAATTTCTTAAATGTTATATATTTATTTATTTATTAAAGTTGTTTTATATTAAAGATGTTTTATATTATTTATTTTCTATAATTATTACTTTTATGCACATGTAACCATTGATAAATAATAAATTTATAAAATAAATTTATTATCTCAATTTTGAATCAAACCAGGGGATATGAAAATACTAATTTAAAGAACATATATTTAAAAATTCAAAAAATATTCAATCATGAAACAAAAGAAATCTGAAAATAAAACATAATTCAAATTTATCAAACTTTCATCCTATAATTAAAATTAATAAAATTAAAATTAAAATTAAATTTAAATTTAAGATTAAATAAAAATCAAATTTTTGAATAATCATCACCCAATAAATTTAATTTTTCTAATATCAATTCTTCTGAATTTGTCAACTTGGAAGATACCCAATCAGGATTAGTTAATTGTGATATATCATCACCTTTGTAAACAGGTATTTTCTATAAATAAATAAAATAAAATAAAAATATAAATATAAATATAAATTTATAAATTCGAACATGATTTTTTTTTTGATTTTAAAATGAAATAAATATTATATTTACAGCTTTGATTTTAGAATAATGTTCTTCTCTTGATGAATATTCTTTTAATAAACTTTTTGTACCAAATTCATGATATACTCTGGTTTCATTCATTTTAAATAATACATCATCTACTCTTAGAAAGAATCTTTGAAGTATGAAAAATCCTGATTCCATTACTCTCTGTTAAAATTATTATAAATTATTTATAAATTATTATAAGTTATTTAAACGTAAAAAATGGGAAGAGAAGATAATCTCACCACTTTAACGCTTAACACAGCTGTCCCGTTATCAGCTAATTCATCTTCAAATAACATTATTTCATCATAAAATAATATTGGTTCAGGAATTTTAAGTTTTTCTATGTCTATGCGTTCTGTTGTCTTTTCAAATTTCTAGTAATAATATTTATACTTATAAAAAAAAAAAGGAACATTAATTACGTTAAATAAATTATATTCGTTTAAAATTACCTGTCCTTTAGATGCAATCTTTAATGTTCCAGAATATAAAGTAGAATATGTCCAATCATAAGGCTTTATGACATCCTTAATATGTTCATGGTTCTTGGAACTTTTTGAATATTTATTGTTTAAGAAAAAAAAAAGATAATAAAAAATCAAATATATTAATTAAATATGTAAATGAAAATAAATATATAAAAAGAAATTATTTAAATTTATGTAAAAAATATATATATTCACCTTTTGAGTGTCCATTCTTTAGAATATGCAACTTTAACTTTTTCGCCCCCTTCCTTTGTAAAATCTACTAATTTTAATGCATCAATTGGTGAAAATTCAAATAAAATGCCATATTCATCGTTTGATACACTTAATGAATTATTTCCAAAAAACATCTCCGGTAATGGAACTAATATTTCTTTCTGTACTCTATCGAAAAATAATTTTTAATAAGAATTAGAATAAAAATAAATATATAAATAAAAATTGGGAATAAAAGAGTTACATACTTTTCGATTTCTTGTGAATTAAGAATTGAAAACTTTTTGGTAACAATTTTCCAGCCTTCAATTGAAATTCCCTGCGTCGAATTATTTTCATTGATTAAATTATATTTTAACGATGATGATGACATTTTTATATTTCTTTTATTTAGGATCTTTTTTTATACAACAATATGAAAAAGTAGAGTAGAAAGGGGGGAAGCGAAGAAGATAAATTCTATCAGATCAGAATAAATAAATAAATCATGTGAACTTTTTAATTACTGCTCCAAATTGAGTTGATCTTGACAATTTATCCTAAAAATTAACCTTTATTAGTAAATTATATAAGCGAATATTCTAAAAAAACTATCTTTCAATCATACGGCATATATGAATCTTAAATTTCGCGATAATATTATAACCATAATAATCTGAATGTTCTAATAAGTCGGAAATTTATTTGTCTGTCTCTTCTACATTTTCTTTCTATAAATCTCAAAGTAAATAGAAAGTCAGTTTTCAATGATACATTTTTATTATATAAATAATGTATTCTATACATTATTCAGCTAGATTTAGTTTGTAACAAACAGAACCTTGTTCCGATAATTTTAGGATTCATCAAAATAATGTGACGCCATCAACTAAATATATAATCTTTTGTTTTAATGATTCACCGCCAAAATGTGAGTCGAAATAACAAGGGATAAAAATATGTTATGGCAATTCCTTATTACAAAGATTATAAAAATCTTGCGCCTCTAATCTTTTTTCTGAATCTACATAATAACAATAATAATGCTATGCTAATATTAACAATATAAATTTTTATATCAATGTGCTTGAATTGTAAAAGAAGATAAAAAAATATGTATACAGTATGTTCATTTAAATGAGAGTTTTATATAAATATTTTAAGTAAAATAAAAAAAAAATTTATCGAGAGAAATAGTTTCGAAGTGGCTTTATAATAACCTCCGCTGGTTTCTGAATTCTTCTTGGAGACCAATAGAAATGAAAATTAATTATGTATTTTATTCATATTTTCTTCTCTGAATTATAAAAAAAATTAATCTAATAAATGACAAATCTTTTTTGGTATTAGATTGAAATATAAAGCATATTAAAGTATAATATAATAAAAATATATGTATAAATACTGCTTTCAATTTATAGTCTCAACTTTTCACAAACAAACTGCGATCATCCATTCATTTTAATTAATACTTCTAATTAATTAATATTTTCTAATTAAATATCTAATATAGCCGCGAAATGACCATCAAAATTTGATCTTCCTATATTCGTAATAAGATAAAGAAGATACGTTAATGTTGCTTTCCTATTGCTACATGTAATTATTATTATTATTACCAGGTTCTTTAAGATAATAGTGAATTTGAGGTATAAGTCTAATCATTTTGAATTGTTCTTAAAAAAGTTTACTAAGGGAGATGTTATTTGTGAAATTATTATTTAAAGTTGAGGAGTGAAGATGAACAATTATTGCAATTATTTTTAGAGGAATTCATATTCACTTAACACTTCTATATTACTTTAGGTACATTTCCAATTGATTAATTCTTTTCAATTGTATAATAATTAATAAGATTATCAATAATAAAAAGATAAATTATCCTCATCAAAATCTTCATAAATATTCTTATCTATTTCCATGTTATGAAATTTAATTTGTCGCTGAAGGTCTTGTTATGAATTAAATTTTCCTTTGCCTCCCTGAACCACTCTATTTGATTCTACCCTAAGTTCAATTATTGAATTTTCTTCTAACTTTCTGACTTAAAATACAAATAAACTTTTTTAATAGAATGTTATTATATTTTTGACATGTAGGATATCTCTATTTCTTGCCTGACTTGCATCTCATGAATTTTCTGGGATTCTCTTCGTAAGATTTTTTAATAATACTGGAAGCTCCTTGTTTAAGACTTTAAAAACTAAAAAATATGAAAAGAATTTCAATCGTAGTTTTTAGTTATTTTCTACTTGTCAATAAGAACTATAATTGAAAAATAAAGAATATGAGTTATATTTTGCAAGACTTTTACAATAGAACAAATAGGAATAATGTGTTATTTGTAATAATAAGAATGCACTAATTTTAGATCATCATAGGGATGGAAAACGTATGAAAATAAAGATGACTCGAGTTGTAATTTTAACTATTTATAGCAATAGTTAAAGACTTATAGGGTATTGAAAATTTTTAATATTGTATATAATAATATCTAACAATCAAAAAATTCCCTTTTGGTGATTTGTAAATTAATAAAATATTAATATTCTAATTATTAATTGGGTAAAAATGCTTAAATAAATTTTTACCGTTAACTGTTCATTAAAAGACTTTACAAATAAATATACTTTATCCACATTTTGTCTCGCAATTGTTTAAACCAACAAATCAATGAAACGACCACCAGTTATATAGTGATTGCAAATTATGCTATAGTATGAAATATTCACTAGAACAATTATGGTTATTAAATCATGTAAAGATTGCCAAATATTTCATAGTAAGTTCGGTTCGGGTTTCAAAATTTCAACTTTCGGTGCCTTATCTGCACCTTGAATAAATTTATCAATTGTATCATTTCCACTCGTCCCTTAATCAAAATTATTTTTCAAACGCGTCGAGTTGCACCATTCCAGCACGTTCTTTGATTTGCATTCTGGACATAGATCACATGTCTTTTTTTTTTATTCATTCACTTACATTATGTATAAGTTGATTTAAAATTATATCTTAATTTTCGTTTCAATAAATTGCTTTGTCAAATGATTTTTATATTTATTATCTCATAAGAAAAATCCTTATGCAAATCGAGTAACCAATTCAATTGTGAGAAATTTATCATCATAATATAAAGTTATTAGATTATAAAAATTAATATTTTGATTAATAAATTCCAGAGTGAATTAATTAATATAAGTCATCCCAATCTTTAAACCAGTTGATGAATAATATATAAATATTCTTGGTTGATTGTGAAATATTATTTAAATATTGTCTAATTAATTAACAGTAAATTAATAGTTTAATTAACCATTAATTAATAGTTAAATTAAAAATTCAATTAAATGATAATTCGTTATATTAAAATTGGGTACCTGTCTGCTACTATTTTCATTATAAAAAAATAGTACCCAGGTCACACGGCGAGGACGTCGATACCCTTTGTGACCCAGAAAGAGAAAAAAAAAAAAAAGACTATCCTAAAAGAAATGAAAAAAAAAGAAATTAAAAGAAAGAAAATAAAAAATTATTATTATATATTTTTTTTTTGTTTTTTTTTGTATTTTATATTTTTTTTTATATTTTTTAATTTTATATTTTTTGTATAATGGTTTAATTTATACTCACCTAATACTCCGTAGGCAATTTCCAAGAAAGATAATAAAAATAAAAAATTTCAAAATTTAAATCATAAAATAAAATAAAAAAAAAAAAAGTTGAAATTTAAAATAAAAAAATAAATCAAATAAAAGGATACATTATAAAATTCTTATATGCAGCCCTCCGAAGAAAATAATAATTGAGAGCCTCTAGCCACCATCCAAGACTAGAGTACTCTCACCAAATACTACCTGCCAAACTTAGAGTCTAAAGGCACTTTCTCTAAGCAAGACAGGCAGTCCATTAATTGACATGGATGGTAATTCTGCATATAAGTTGGCCACTTGGGCCTGAATAGAATTACCGGATTGCCTAGGAGTCAATCCATTCCAACTTATTCTGATATTTAGTTGTTGTTGTTGTGGTGGTGGTGGTGTAGGTCTTCTTCTTCTTCTTCTATCAGGGAGAGGGCGGATTGCAGCAGGTGCAAAAGGGCTAACATCTTCGACTTGGAGGCCTAATCTTCTTGCTGTTGCTCTCGTAATTGGTGCCATTTTCAAAAATTAAAAGCTAATATCTAAGGGAATAACAAAAAAGTTTTTTTTTTGATATAATAATAAGAGAGATATTATAAAACACTTGAAATGGCAAGAAAAAGTGTAAGGGGAATAAAAAGGATAGGTACCCTTTTTATAATTTTTTTTTGTTTACTTCAATTATCATTTTATTTATTTTGTTTATTTTATTTATCTTGTTTGTTTTGTTTGTTTGTTTATTTTATTTATTATTTTAACAAATATCGGTCGCGATTTTCGCGTTGATTTAATCATGTGACACATAAGCACATGACAAAAATTTATAATATCGCGTCGTGTAACATATTTTTCATAACAAAGATCAACAAATTTCACCCTTACAATAAACATGACGCGAAAAGAAAAGAATAATCATTACAATTATCTCAAAATAACAAATAAATTACAGAGAATTTTAAAATTAACACAAAAAACAAATTTATTATTTCAAAATAAACAAATATAATTCGCATGTGATAATTAATTTATTAAAAATAATAACTGATAAAGTCTATAAAAATAGTTAAAGCTCAAGATATGTAGAATAAGTAAAACTACTATACAATTATATTAAATAAAGTTCAAAATTAACAAATAAAGTCTAATTTCCTTCGAAAAACTATATATCTAATCCTATTTTGACACTAAGTAAACTTGTTCAGTAAATTTAGAAGAAATTAACGATTTAATATATTTTAAAAAATAACAATTTCTCTATAAATATTCGATCGAATTATATAAAAATTTAAATGTAAGTACTTCTAAATATGTTGAATAAGTTTTCTTAATGACAAAAATAGGGTTTAAAATCTATTTCCTAAATTCGAAAAGGTCAAGGTTAAGGTAATATTAGTATATATATAAGATTAAAAAGCTCAAGACTATAGCATAGATTTTGAAATTAAAATTTCAAACTAACAGTATAGATTTCGAGTTTGTGTCAATTAAAGCTCAAAACTATTAGAACAAACTCAAGAGTACGCAATTAAATTACGATTACCTTAAAGAAGTAAAACTCTAGATTGTATGTAAATGTAAATTCCTTATTTTAAAAACCATATAGCATAATCTTGGAATCTTTCAAAATCGGAATTGTAATCGTTGAAATCAAGAGGTAAGGTTCTTATATCTTATTTTTCAAACTTCGTAAGCGAGTATATAAATATATATGGTATTATAATTTATGATTTATTATTGATTTGACAGATTTTTATTTAAAATCATCATTTTTTAGTCGCAGTAGTCACGTACTACCAATTGGCAAAATTATGATATTTACCGATCTATTATATTTCTTATAATTTAATGAGCGCGCGAGACTTTACAACAGTTTATTATCAAGTTTCTTGGACAATGACAATAATAGTTATATAAAATGAATTATCGTGAATAAGTCTGTTTTTATATCAAAGACTATTAGTTACATTATACTGTCGAATTTTGATCAATGTCAATACTCATTAGAGTTTTAGCCGATGTGTTTAAAAATTTAAAATGCTGAAAAGTATTTTTATAGCTTGACGGTATGTATTTTAAATATTTTAGACGTTTAAAATGTTTATTTTTTTTTTTTAAGAATCATTATTAATTTATTTTGACATTAACATAATATATTGCAATCAAAAAATATACGTGGCAAAAAACATGGTGTAGTAAATTAAATATTATTGTGAGAGAAACATGGGTAGAGCATTCATTATAACAAAAAATATAATATGTGTAGATTTTAAATGTGTTAAAAAAAACTAAGATCCAAATTTTTGAATAATGTCTATGATTAAATAAATAATATTTAAAATCAGAACTTTAATTAATTATACCAAATATTGAATAAATTTAGATATCACATGCTAGTCTAATCGCGTTTAAGTTTAATCCGAAATCAATCACATGAATTCTGCAATTAAAGAGCAAAAAATTAGGCACTATAATAATCTGATGATTTTTTGTTGCTATTATTATTATGTGATGATTCCTCTGTAAATATTGTAATAATTTTAAATATGATAACATTAATTACCTAATTATTGCCTATAGCGTTTTATAATCTTTTTTAACATATAATCCATTTGCTTAGTGACGCGAAAAAAAGAGTAAAAATTATATTTAAAGGCGATAGGTTTTTTTTCCATTCTCATCAACTTGTGATAATTCCCTTGAGAATACTGACTATCAGCCTGTCAATGAATTAAATGATTTATAGAAAATATATTTGATAGAAATGTAGGTTCATAAGAAATGATGATGTTGATGTTTACTCATCGAACTCTTTCACTTTCCAGTTAAATAAGGCTGTACCTATTGGAACTTCATTTAGTAGTTACTCAGAATTTTTCACCGAATTAAAATCTTTCTTACAATGGAAATATGCAAAATCTGCGCTTATATAAGCAACTACTGATACTTTAAACCTACGAAAAACACAAGTTGGAATAAAGAATTTATTTAGAATCTAATATTTATCCTTTTGACAGTGGGTCTAGTATAACATCAGCAGTCTAAGATATAAATACTACTAATTTTTTGATGATACACTTCATAGATTTTGGAATAACATTAGAACAAGGCGGAATTACAAATCTCTAATTGGACCCGGAATTTTGTCTATACATTACCTACATATTGGCATTATTTTTACTTTAATAATTCATATGTAATTATTTGTTAAATAAATTTTATTTTTCAAAAATAAACACACAATTAACATCTTCTTTTTATTATTTATTAAGTGATTTTTAACAAAAGTTGTTTCATTGTATTGCAAAGCTATTATACTGTAGTAATAATTAATTGTATTAAAAACAAATTTAACAATTTAGTATAGTTTATTAGAATTTAATTGATGAATTTTTTTAGATATTTATTTATATAATTAATTAAATAAATTATCCCAATAATTGGTCAATTCGATTACAATAAAAATGTATAAAATAATAAATAATAATATTTTGAATAGAAATTTCAAAGATAGAAGGTTGAATTATAAATAAATAAAAATTTAGGTTAAATTTATAATCACAATAATAACATTTAAAAATTTATATCGAAAGAGAATTATTAAAAATATAAAATCTCAATTTCTTTTTGAATTGGTAAAAAATGGTGTATAAATTTTCATTAATATTTTGTTAGTTACTAAAAAAAACCGGTTTTTTTTGTATAAATTTTTAACTCAAAAATTTCCTCTTCATTTTCTTCATTTTATAATCATAACCAAATTTAAAACTTTTATTTGATTTTCAATAATAAAGGTAAATTGCTTCTAAATTATATCTACTGTCATCAATTTCATTATTATCTTCTAATGTTTTCAATTTTATAGAAATTTGATTTAATTCTTAAGTTTGAATAAATTTTCTTTATGCAATACCATTTATTGAATTGTTTCCCGATTTCTTCTATCAATTGGATTTGAATACCAACATCTTTTCATTAAATTAATAAACACCAATTATTTCTAGTCTTAATTCAATTGGAAAAAGGCCCGTGACTCCAAAAACTGTATACATGACTATATAAAGAACCATTAAATACCTCATGAGAAATATAAGGTATTGACTTTATCTGTTGCATCAACTTCTCTAATTGATCCAAGAATTCCATTAAAATGTTTCCAGAATGCAAATCAGGGTGTATGAATCCGTTCAATTCTATATAATATTTAGTTACAATTTATGGTTATTTAAAAGTTTGTATTTTCAATTTTTTAAATAAATAAATTAAAAAAAAAAAATACCCTTTTGAAATATAACATAATATTTCTAATTTAATTTGCAAAGTAATTTCTTTAAATTTTTAATAAATCATTACCATAATATAGTCTTTAAGTCAGGATCTTTAGTCATTCCATATCCATATTATTATAAAATGAAATTATTAAAACAAACTTATATCGATGTTAAGTACAATTTGTTGATTTTGAACCTCAGTAGTAGTAATCCATTTGCTTTTGAGTTTTTTATTTCCATTATTAGATATTCTGCTGTAACTTGAATTATTTCTATTTCCAAAAATTCATCAAATTCTTTAAATTACGATTTTAATAATAATAACAGTACAGTATCGTCAAAACCACAAAAAAAAAACACGAGTTTAATAAAACTCAGCCGGTTTATTGTTTTACATTTTTATTTTTTTGTTTATATACATGTATTTAATATTTATATTTGTTATTACTTAAACTAAATGATTTAAATTAAATTATTAACATAATCTCTTGTTTTTTTTTTTATTTGTACGCTCAACTATACCATGTGGGTATGTTATCCCCCGATCGTTGAATACGTTTTCTTTAAATTGTCTATGTTGAAATTTTGATTGCGAATTAGTTATAATATAAATGAACAATAATAATGAATCATGAAATAAAATTTATTAAGCTATTGAGAATTTATAATTATTAATATGGATTATTAACATAAAGTGAATATTAATAGTATTAAATGAAAATTTAGAATCTGAATATTTTTTTAATATTGATAAATTAAGTTGATAAAGTTTAAATAATGATTTAAGGTTAAATAAAATCATAAGGTTTTATGTTTTATATATGATATTTATTAATAATAATTATATAAATTTTATATAATAATACCTTCAGTTGATAACGCATGATTTTCAATATTCTTGAAAGAAATTAAGGTTAATATAATTACTAATATGGTCGATACGATAAATAATGAAAGAAAGACTGTAAAAAAAATATTATATGTGAATGGCATTTTTATCAAAGAAGAGAATATTTATAAAGAAGAGAGTATTTATTTAGAAGAGATTTATATAGAATAATGATGATGCTATTATCATTCAAAATATATGTCCAAGATTTGGAGCTAAAAAATAATAACAATAAAATGTGAACATTTCTTTTCGAAAAGATTCAAATTATTTTCGAAAATAAATTTGTAGCATTTTTAAGTACTATATAGATATAACTAATAACATTAAATAATCAAAGAGGCTTTTTGTTTTCTTCAAAAAAAATAATAATAATAAAATAAAATAAACAAAATAAAAATAAACCATCGAACCTTTAACCAAAAGAAATTTATCATCACCATCTCACCGTGCCTTATTATATGATAGAGAGTTGTTTAGTAGAATCACTCAGAATTAAAATAAAAATAAATATGAAATTTCATTAGCTGATAAATCAACGAATTACAATAATAATTCGAAATAATCCAATAAAATAAACAATCGAAATTCTTCCCTAAAACGAAAGGAACCATAAATCACTCAATTAAATTCACAACGGTCACGGTCTCTACCACCATCACCAATTTTTCAAAAAAAAAAAGAAAATTTTTTTTAAAATATGAGAGAATATATACCTGAAAGGTTGCCAAAAGCCACATTTGATTTGGTTCGTTTGTGGTGAGGCTTTGATTTTATTTTTAGTATTTAGGGATACTTTTGTCCTTATTTTTTTTACCACTTTTTCTTATGTTTTTCATCTTTCTCATCTTTCAAATTCAACTATTTTAGTTTCTAAACAAAAAATAAATATAATAAAGAATTTCAAATGATAAAAAGAGAGATGAAGACGCACGCATTTAGTTATATCTCATTTTACATTATATTTCGTTATTTCGTTTCGTTATTGATTAACATTTCCAAACAATCAGATAATGTATATTTATTCAAAGTCATTCGAAAAAAATAAAATTGCGCCGCCATATTTGCATAAGAAGTTTATAAATATGGCTTAATACCATTGTTATTATTATTATTACTTCTCCACAAAATCAATTGAAAAGAAAATAGCTTAGAGGAGGCTTGTATGGCACATGTTACGATAAGCCACAATTTTTGTAATTTCAAGTTTTTCTTTCTTTTTTTCACCTTCAATTTTGCCGATCTATTATTACTCTCTTCTAATCTAATCAAAAAAATTTGGTAGTAGATTAAATAAAACAAAGCATGATTATTACAAATGCGAAAGGCAATATTTATTTGTTTATTTTTGTTATTTTTGAATTGACGAGATTTTTTGATTTGTTTAATCTTTTCAATAAATTCAAAGGTTACGTTAGTAAAGATTATAAATAATTTGCAACTAATAAAAAAACAGTATTATGTTTAAAATTTTTATTTACATGAATAATTAGTGATTGGTAGATTTTGTTGTTTCTAGTCTCTTCTATCTTTTACTATGGATTCATCTACAATAATTCAAGTGATTCATAAATGTTAGATGTAATAAAATTGAAGTTAGTTCTACGTTTAATAATATAAAGTTAATTCTCGGATTTTGTGAAAAGTGACTAGATATATATATATATATGAAATAAAATTTCTTTTTTTAAAATAATAAAAGCAAAATTTTTTTGGTTCATTATTTCACAAATATTAAAAAGTTAACTTTAAGAATTAAGAAATATTTTTTTTTACGGCTAACAGAATCCTCTTTATTCACAAATGATAACCTGAAAATATTTCTTTGACCAAAGTATTTTGAATTTTGAAAACGTATCATCCAATAAATAATAAAAATCATCAGATTCCTTTATACAAGCCTTTCATTACTTTATACGCGTTAATGACACCACACGAAAACTGAAGCAACTTATATATATCTTCACAATTATATTTATATCAGCCACTGAGGAGATATAAATTACCCGGAAATTATCGATATATTGCTTGACAAGTTTTTTTTTTCTTCACAGCCACGAAAATGATAAAAGGCCATTTAGGCATCAGTCCATACACTTTTTTTTTTCGAAATCCTGATAAATTTATTTATACGATTATTATTTTTTTTACTACCCCTTTTACTGACGATTATTATTAAATTCGTTCCGTTATTTTTTTATATTTATATTGGTTGTTGGGTTTCTTTTTTTTTTTTGTGAATAGAAATAATATTTCTATTATTACTGAAGTTGATTTATGAATTTATCTCACAAGACTTTAAACTATTGTGGTATAATAAGTAATGTCGGATATTGATTGTCACCAACAACATTTACAAGGTTCTGTTTCAGAGGTAATATTCTCTTTTACCTTTTTTTTTTACAATTCCTTACTTTCAGTACAGTTAGAAGTTGACCTATAATAGTTTATTAAGTTTTTATATATACTTATTTATTCTCCTAGTACTGCGCTCAATATTATTATAATGAGGAAGACTTTAGTCCAATCAAATACAATTATTTTGAAAACAACGAGAAACGAGATAATGATGCGTTAGACGAAGAATTATCAAATATGGGGCTTGTGTATCTAGTGAAAAACCCTCAACAAAAACGTGAACCTAATCGAAACAAAAATAAACGATCATTAAAGAAACGAATCGGTTTTAACAGAAAAAGAGACGAAACCACTTCTACTACTTCTACCACTCCTGCTACTATTTCGACCATTTCTACAACTAAGACCTCGACCACCTCTACCACTAGTTCCAAAACTAAAGCTACTTCTACCACTACCTCTACTGCTACCTGGCCATCAATACAAGACTATTTGAACAATTACACTGTTTACAACAAACCATTAATGATTTCTTATAATTCCACGGAACAATATAATGCTTATACAGAGGAACTTCTAACAATATTTATCAATCCACCTCAGGCTGTGCTTAACGAAGATGGATGGCCACCAAAAGAAATTTATGATCCTGCATTGGATACATTGTATTGGTGGCGAAATGATCCCGTAGTTAATCAACATCATGAGCTTTGGCATGTGGTAATGGTTTCAACTATTGTTGATGGAGCTCGTAAAGATAGAGAAGGAGAGAATTTTATTTATATGCATAGACATATGGTAGCAAGGTAATTATAAAGTGGTTTCTAAGTTATATTCAATCACGATATTATGACACCATACTTTAATGAATAAATAATTGATTTATTATTAGATATGATGCAGAACGTCTTGGAGTAGGTCTTGAAATCGTTGAAGCGTTACCTGATTATAGAACTCCCATAAAAGAGGCCTTCTATCCAAATCCATTTTTGACCCAAGATAATGATACTGATGCTTCAACTCCTCGTGTTTGGTTCGTAGCACGTCCCTCCAATGAATCAATGAAAGATATGGGTAAATAAACTCATTAATTCTATTTGAAACTTAGAATTAACAATAATATTTTGTTCGAACTTTATTGATATAATTTATTTATTATGTAATATTTTTAAATATAGTTCAATTAATGGGCACTACCTTTTTCATTTACAAGCTTTCCTTCTTGGAACGCACATATGAAGAAATACTTAAGTGGATCGATCATAATTACACCGAAGACCACCCCGTTCAATTAGGATGGAATGATTCAGAAGCTAATACACTTGGAAGTAATGTTGAATTAGTTTTACACAACATTGGGCACTCAGTACTTGGTTATATCATGCATCCTTATAGTATTGGTTGTAAGTAGCAATTTTTAATTTCTCTAAGTGGATGATAAATGCGATATAAAGATATATATATATATATATAATATGTAAATTATGTAGATCCACCAAGCGTGTTGGTCGGTGCTCGTGGAGGATTACGAGATCCATTATTCTGGAGATGGCATCGTCATTTGGATAGTATTTACTTAAGATTCCAAAATAAATTAGGACCTAATAATTTTAGCGACGACAGTCCTAATGTTACCATTCGAACAACCGATATATTTTTATCTTTTACTGATGTATTACTTGAAACTGCTCCGGATGGTAAAGCTGATGGATGGCAAGCATTTGGAGATAAAACTTTCGGTGGTGACAAATTTGATACAGATTTATCTAATTTAACGGTTGTCACCTCGGAATTACAAACCAAGATGAAAAATAGAACTTATACTTGGTTGGAAGATAATTTCGATAAGGAAAATATTACTTATGTTTTCCCTAGAGATTGGCAATATTTCTTCAGGGTGGAAAATAACGTAGGAATTGTAAGTAAAATCATATATAGTTATTGTATTTAAACGCACATCGGAACTAACTTATAATGATAATTTGTAATTTTAAGACTTCTATAATTACTATCCGTATATTCATTGTTCCGGCAGTCCTTGCTAATTCAACTACACATTGGATTGAGTTAGACAAATTTAAACGAGCTTTAAAACCTTACGAAAAAGCTGTAATACCTCGAGCATGTGATAAAGCAGTAGTGATACGAAAACCTGCTCAGAAAAACGAGACATCAATGGATTCTACTGCCATTACTGCAGAATATAGAACCTATTTAACACAATTTAGTGATAAAGAAGTCGCTGAAAAAGAATTTTGTAATTGTGGATGGCCTTATAATATGATAATACCCCGAGGAACTAAAGAAGGAATGAAATTTAAAATGATTGTATTTATTTCAGATGGATTAAATGATTTAGTACCAACATTTGATCAATGTGGTAGTACTTTATTATGCGGCGCTCATAAATGGGAGGATAAAATTCCTGATAGCAAACCTATGGGATATCCCTTTAATCGACCTTTTAAAGATGGTTCTTATGAAAAAACGTTTGCTGGATTAAATAATGTTGCTATTCGTGATTTCACCATTAAATTAGTATCTAATTTCACTGAAGTCGATTAGTAGTAATTTAGATTATTTCTTTTTTTTTTTTTTTTTTTAATTGTATAAAGTTTATTTTTTATTTTTTATTTTTTAAAAGGAAAAAAAAGCGAATTTGGTTGAGGGTATAAAAGGTGTAAATTATACATTTTGGTATTTCCTCCCATTTTCGTTTCTTGTATATATGTTCTTTATATTTTTAAATGTAATTATATTCATAGAGAATTACTACACTTAACCGAGGAAATTACCGAATGAGGATTTAGGTTAATGGGTTAATGGTAGAAGGGTTTGGGTGGGCTAGAGATTGAATAGGTAATGAAATTTGCCTAACTATTGATCTTCCCCTCGGTTGAAGATCAGCAATATTTATTTTATTATGTATACTCAAAATAAATGCTCAGAATTTTTTGACAATTATATTTTTCACTAAATAATTACTTTATCTTCCTTGATTTGGAAGATATTGTACAACTATACTATGTACAGCCTGTTGTAATTTTTAAAATATCTATTAAATAACCATTTTATTTAAATAAATATTACATATTTTTACCTGAAATTATTTCCACCCCTAACAATCAATTTTATAAAAATTTTAACGATTTGAATATTAAAGTTGTAAATATTGATGACTCTACCTACACAATATAAAAAAGAAATTATTTTTTTCAAATCAATAAGTTATTAAAATATAATATTAAAATATAATATTAAAGTAACAGTTTCAATATCTTTTCTACTGATTACACAATTATTTTATATGAGTAATCTTATTTATTTGATGGGCTTGTTATTATTATTACAAAGTGACAGAATATATCAAATATATTTTTTATTATCATTTAAATATTGAAAACTTGATACATAAAATATTTAATTTAATCTCATCTCATTATACAACTGGAATTTAAAATTAATGCTTAAATACTTACTTCACAATCTACAATAGAAAATCTTTCATTAGTTGTTCTAATAGATTTTTCATAACAAGCATAATCACACCAATATTCTTTGTCTTGAGTAAAATCAAAAACATCTGATCGCAACCAAAATTCATGCATAGACCACAAGTATTTTGACAATAAGAACTATAATAGGTTAGAGCTTTACTTTTATTTTTAATTCGACTGAGAATTAAATTTTGGATATTATCATTTTTCAATGAAAATATAAAACATCATTTGTGTATTTGTAGTTTTTTGAATTGTTCCATGTTAAAGGATTGTAACCTCTAAGTATTTCATCAGTTCCAGTAACTTTTGCAATCATTATTGTATCAGCATGTCCATTACACATATTCCATCATGTTGGGGAACAAAACCATTTCAACTTCATCAAAGAATTAACTGAAATTCGTATGGAACATTTGTTGAAAAATATATAATTGATTTGTAATCAATCTATGATGAAATTTCTGCCACATGTTCTTCATAAGAAATAGAATAATTTTAGCTGGTAAAACAAGGATTTTGACAGGTTGATTTGGAAATAAAAGATGTTGATTTAAATCCTTCCAAAGATTTTTTCTAAGGATTTCTCTATAGGACTTTACTTCTCTCGAATATCTTTATCAGAAACATGAAAATATCGAATTAGTGGTAGACATTGTTGTAGAGTTGTTTTCAAATCCATGAAATTTTCTTTAGACGATTTTATGCAATTCCTTATTTGATAATAATGTAATCCAAATTTTAATTTCTTCTGCTCGCATATCGTCTCTTTTCAAAATAGTAACTAATTCTGATTCTTGGAGAGAAGTGAAATCTTCCACATGAAAAATTAAATTCGGATGCCTTGTAATAATATTATCATAAAATAGTTTCAACCTTTTAATTCGTTACACTTATTACTATCAAAGATTAAATAGCAAATAAGGGAGAAATGAGTTCTTAACTTAGAAACTTTGGATTCAATAAGGTAAATTTTTAATTGTTTTGATAGTTCATAAAGTCCCAATTCATTAAAAATAATTATTAATTCGTAAATGATTTTAATATCTACGTATCTAATTCCGTTATAGTTGTATCTAATAGAATAAATTAATCTGTTAGATTTATACATATAAATAATTTAAGAAATATTTGGTTTAATAATAATTTTCATTCGTAGCAATATTTCCAACTCTATCAAAGTAGGATGAATGATAACGTAAGACAACTGAATAAACAGTAAATAATTTCTTATTTTCTTCTATATCTACTTCAATGACAGCATTGTATTCTTTTTTTGTCATTAAGAAGTTCTAAAAATCTTGAGACAACTTAATAAGAAATTTCAAGGACATTTTTTTCTTTGTAAAGTTAGTAAAAGTTGAGTTGAATAACTGAACTGCACTGCGCAATAGGATTCCGTTCCGTTGTACAATTCATTGATAAAATAGGAAAGGAATTTTAATCTAACCCATCTTGTTTAGTGATAGTGCAATTTCCAATAAAGTAGATTGTGTTGTAATAATATATTTATAAACTACTTCGAAATGAAAACCAACAAATTAAAATGAGTGCACCAAAGATTGGATATCTTTTAGTTCGAACACTAGCAAAGCCACTTGCTAATGGCATAAAAGTTAATATAATACTACGTGTAGTTATTTTTATAAATTTTTTTTTTTATAATTTAATTTAATAAATATTAATTATTTTGTTATTAAAATTGTAGAATTATAGTAAAACTCATCCAACTTTTAAAAAATGGTGTATAAACTTGGCACAGGTAAAAATACATACATACATACATAAATATATATATATGTATATATATATATCATCATCATCATCAAAATATTAATTAATAAAATTCAATAATTATTATTTTATTTTTCAAGAAAACCTATAAACTTGAAATGAATTTAAATATGTATCTTTTGGGTCAAAAACATCACAAGATACGTTCATTGAATGATGCCAAGTAAATTATCCATTTTGTTTAATTTTTGACGTGATGATAATGTGATGATAATGAAATGATAATTGTAAAAACTATATAAAACTAAAACTAAAGCTTTAATTTATTTAAGAGCGATAGACTTGGGATCCCATTTTTTAGGAGAGTCCATAATATTTGGAGTTACCGCTATATTAATAGTTGTGGAACAAACGAGGTATTATAATAATTATGTAATGAATAATAACATATTATTAATAAAATTAATTAAAATTAATTAAAATTAATTAAATTAAATATCAAATGTTTAGATCACGCAAACAGAACAAGACATTAAAAGAAGCTGTGGAAAAAGTAAAAAATGAATTAGAAGAAAAAAAAATAATTATAGAAAAATTTAAAAAATTTATTGAAGATAATGAAAAAAAATAATAATAATTATAAAAAAATAGTACGTAATAGAATATAATTTATCTACAATCTATATATAATATATATATATATATATTTCTTATTTAGTTTATTTAGTTTATTTTTTTTAATAAAATTACAGATATAATATATATAATATATATAATATATATAATATATAAAGTTAAATCATTATAATGTAATAATAATATTATTTTTACTTGTTTCCCTTGACACGATTATTCAATTTACGTTGAACAATTTGTAATTCTTTCTCTCCAAGTTCATCAACTAATGCAAGTATAGCTGTAAGAATATTGGACTATAATAAAAATAAAAATGTATATGTTATAATATTAATTACCAGAATAATTTAGAATATTTTAAATTATTAATTTACTTGATTATATTATTATAGTGAAATTAAAAACCAACCTGTCGAAGTTCATTTTGATTAATTTCTTCTGATTGATTAATAATATTATTATTGTTATTATTGTTATTATTGTTATTATTATTATTATTATTATTGTTATTATAATTAATTGATTTTATTGAAGTATTTCGAGATAATGTTCTAGAAAGAGTTGATCTCCGAGCTTTAGGTGGTGGTGGTGGTTGTTGTTGTTGTTGCTGTTGTCCATTAATTCTAGAATGGTTATTATTGCTATTCGATTTATTTTTTATAATTTTTGATTCTTTCGATTCATTTGGTAATGAAGAATAAGATGATACTTGTTGCGAATTATATTCATTATTTAATGAAGAAGGTGAAGATGATGATGATAATGATAATGATGTTGATGGTGGTAATATTTGAGATATAGGTCGACCAGGGATTCCAGATGATTTGATTAATGTTGGTGCACGATTACCACCACCAGAATTAATTAAAGTAGAGATTCTTTGATTATTTCCATTTGTTCCAATCGTTCCATTTGTTTTTCCATTTGGTATATTCGTTACATTCGTTATAGTCGTTCCATTTGGTACATTCGTTACAGTCGTTACAATTGTATTGGATTTGGATCCTTCTATCTCGGAATCTTGAGTATTATTATTTACTTTAACTTGAAGTGTTAAACGCTTTTGAATTTTAAGCGGCATAGTTGCAGGAGGCTATTATTAATAAGGTTAAAATAAGATTAACGTTATGAATAATTAAAATCATTAAATATTTTATTAAATGTTTACTTACATCATTCGTATAATTAATAGCTTCAAGAACGTTTTCTTCAGTAACATCTATTAATAAGCAATAAATAACAAATAATTTAAATAAATAAATAAATAATAAATAATTCAAATAAATTAATAAATTAATAAATAAATAAATAATATATTACCATGATGATCCAACTTTTTTAACCATGGAAGATATTTTAATATTGTGCATCTATAATGTTTTTCATCTTCTTCAATACATGGATTATCACATAACCAAAGAACTTGTAAATCTTTCAATGGAACAAGATGTTTAACTTGATCCACGTCATTAATGTAATTTTTCCTGAGATAAAGTTCTGTTATAAATTTATGTTAACCTTTTATTATTATTATTATTATTATTGTTATTGTTGTTGTTGTTGTTGTTATTGTTATTGTTAATAAATTAAATTTACCTTTAAGTTTTGTACATTCTGAAAGTTGTTCTAATGAAGTAAGATTATTGACACTATTAAACAGAATAATTAAATAGTTACATTTATTTTATTTATTGTTTTCAAGGAAAAATACTCTTGACTCTTTTTTTTTTTTTTTTTTTTTTTATTATTACATTATTCATTTACCTTAAACTTAATACCTCTAAATTACAACAAACCTTTAACAAATCAACATTTTCTAATTCACAAGCCTAAATAATAATTAATTAATTAATTAATAAAATAATAAATAAAGTAATGAATAAAATAATAAATAAAATAATAAATAAAATAATAATAAATAAAATAATAAATAAAATAAATAAATAAAATAAATAAATATATTTATAAAAATATATTTATAAATATATATATATAACATATGTTTTTATATATGTTAAACATTAATTTATACCGAAAGGTTTAAATTCCGAACTTCTGATATTAACTTTGAACTGGTTTTCGTTAGAATAATTTCTTCCGTCAAAGTTACCATTGTTGAAGTTACAGTAATATTCGTAATTAATATTCGCAGTAAATTTAGTTAATATTCAAGTATATTCTATTGTGATACATTTTGGATATTTTTCGCGTACGTATTGCATTGTGTATGTGGATGTGTGCATATTCAGCACATTAAAAATATATATATATCTGTGTGCTTTTATGAATTGTCAACAAATTTTCCTATATTTAATTTATAACCAAAATTGGTGTCTCTTTTTTATTGAAAGTACTAAAATTAGAAATTAAATAAATTAAAAATAAATTAGACTATTGTTATAAAATGTATCATTTAGATCCTCTTCACAAAATGGTAGTTTTTATGACGGTAAACTAGGAATTTTTGACATTAATACTATTACTAGAAATAAAATCGTATAAACTTCAATAAGTTATTAAAAGTCTATAATTTAGGTTATTATTCAAAATAAGGTTAGATATAAATATACTGTTTATTTTTATGATTGTAAGGAATCTCTCTTTTGATATTCAGATATAAAAATTTTTTTCTTAAATAGATTTTTTTATTTCCCTTGTGAGTGTCACTTTCTTGAAATAAACCAGATATTTAGATAATAAAAGTAATGTAAACTTGACTTGATACGTATTTCGTTAAAAAAAATTTCCCCCAATTCCTGATGAGATGATTTTTGATTCGATTTTAATTTTAGTAATGATTTTCTTATACACACAATAAGAATTAATACCAATACCCAACCCAAATGTTTCAGCCATAACAGATAGGCAGTTAATATATAAATATTTAAAATAAATATTTAAATAAACAAATAAACAAAATAAATATTTTAAATATTTTAAATAAAATAAATATATTTTCATTATATTTTTCTCATTATTTATCACATTTTTCATTCATTCTTTCATTCTTATTATTAATTTTATTTACTATAAACTAACCCATTTTCATTAATTAATTTGATTTAAATTTCCCTTAATAACTTTTCTTAATAATTATTTTTTCATATTAATTATTGTCATTATTATCATTATTGTCATTATAAAAAAGGGGGAGGGGGATGGTGACGATGATCGCTTTCTTTAATGACTTTTTCGCCTTTTTTTTTAATGATGTTAGATGTTACAACAAATGCGTGAAGTTTAAAATTTTCAAACCCCCACGGCGTTATTTATCGTTTTTTTTTTTTTTTTATATACATAATGATGTTTGTTGTTGTTATATTATGCATTAGCAATTACTTTATTATGCAGAATGTTTATTATAGTATGTTTAATTAATGCATTATTCATTATTCTTATTATACTTCTTTTTCTTCATTCATTCAATTTATTATTAAATAAATAATGATGCCTAATTTTTTATAATAATAAATAATTATTATTATGCCCGGAATAGTTGATTTAAAAATATGGTTTTATTACAGCATCATTGTTTGTCTTAATACTTTTGGTCAGGTCAGGTGATACTATAGTCTTTTAATCACATACATTTATATATATGCTATTATATATTATTATTATACCGTCTATGTTGTCTATGTTCTGTTTATCTCCTAAAAAAATAAATCTTTTTTTTTTTTTTTTTTTACACTTTATTTTCTCACTATTTCTTATTCTCTTCACACACAAACACCCAACGTAACGTAAACAAAGATAACAATTATTATTTCTTTAATTTTTTCCTTTTCTTTTTGGTCTTTTTTTTTCTGTTCTTTCTTCTTAGCTTGTTAACTTTATATATATATTAATTACTTAACACACCGCACATAAAGACATGTGAATTTTTTATTTCTTGGAATATTATTTATCATTATATTGTCAACAAGGAAATTAGGAAAATTATTTCTGCATTTATTTTTAATGGTTTCCTAGTTGTTCCCAAGTCGTACCTAGTCTTCCTAGTGGTATCAGTTATTGTTATTTAATTAATTCCTAGTAACGAAAAATTAATTCCTACTATTTTATATATAGTTGCTTTTGTAATTCCAAAATTTCTGCATTTATATATTTGCACATATTTATATAAATATATAAATATATAATTGTAACAACAAAGAAAATTTGCACGCACATATAAACACGAGCCGAGCTACCCGTTTTAAATTTTTTTTTTTTTAAAAAAAAAAATCTCAAAATTTATCGAGAACAAAAAAATTATTCTTTAATTAATAAATTGATTAATCCTTAACTTATTTATTTATTCATTTCATTTATTCTATCTTATTCTTTATTATAAAGTTCTTAAAGATTTTTATATATTATTATTATTTTTCTACAAACTCGAACTTATCACCAAATTTCTTGTAAATAACCAAAAAAAAAAAAACAAACAAAATAAATAGAAATAAAAATAACAATTTTAGAGAAAAAAGAAAGTATGTCCGCAAAAACAGCAATACCAACATCACAAGCCAATGATACTGCCACAACTCTAAAAAAACGGCCTTTTACCGTAAGTCTAATTATATTATTTATTATTATTTATTTTATTACTTATTAAACATTACATTTTATTATTGTATTTTAAAATACAGTCACAAACGGAAAAAGTATCTTCGAAACCTTCTACTCCTCCCTCTCCTTCTCCTTCAAATACTCCTAAACAACGTATCCGATACAATAATTCGCAATCATCCCCTCGTAAATCGAACTCTCTGAACTATAATAATAATAATTATAATAATAGTAGTAGTAAAAATAGTTCACCCACTCCTTCTGATAAAACCGATTCAGAAAGAAGGAGTCCTTCTTCAGTGATGTTATTGTCTCCTGGTGAGGCATCCGAACAACAAGGTTCTATTGAACAAGCAATCAAATCTATTGAAGAACAAATTAAAGCGGAACAAAATAGAATTTCTAGAAATATTTTAAGAAAACAACAAAAGCAAATAAAATATAAAATTGATAATCAATCATCTTCATCAACTGCAGCAGTTAATAATGAAAGTGCTACTACTACCAATGATAGTGATAATAAAAAAGATTCATCAATTAAAGTAAAATCTTTATCAACATCATCATCAACAAAACAATCAAAAACTACCAAACGATCACAAACCGCACCTTCACCTTCTTCTTCATTATCACCTTCTTCCTCTTCTTCTTCTTCTTCAACAACGGCAACAAGACGTACTTGTACATGTGGTGATCCTAAAAATAATTGGTGTTTCGTATGTGAAGTTAGACGTTTCAAATCTGACTTTTTAAAATGGACAAGTGGTAATAAAATAGTTGATAACTTCATTAGAGAGATTCAATTATTTTCTTCATCGGAAGTTAATTATTTAGAATGGATACCTTATGATCGACTTAAAGAAGTAAAATTTATTGGTGATGGTACTTTTTCTTCTTTATCAACCGCGGTATGGTTAGATGGTCCAAGAAATTTTTTACCGGATGGAAAAAATTATTATAATAATAACATTAAAAGTAGTAATAACATTAATAAAAAAATAAAGAGAGATTCTAAAAAAAGAGTAATTTTGAAACAATTACATAATTCAAATGATATTACTGAGTCATATTTAAATGAGGTATTTATTTACTTATTTATTATTGTTTCTTTGTTTCTTTATTTCTTTCTTTATCTAATTATTTAATTATTTAATTATTTAATTATTTAATTATTTAATTATTTAATTATTTAATTATTTAATTATTTAATTAATTATTTATTATTTTTATTATTTAGCTCAGTAAATATTATAAAAAGATCTTATGGAATAATAGTATAATGCAAATTTATGGAATATCTAAAGATCCATCTACCAAAAATTTTATTATAGTCTATGAAAATGTCGAGCAGGGAGATCTTTTTAATTACCTTTACGAAAATTCCCTAAATATGGGTTGGTCATTAAAATTAGCATTAATTTGTGATATTTCAAAATCATTAAAAACTCTTCATGGAGCTAATTTAATACATCGAGATATTCATAGTGGTAATATATTAATATTAAAAGATGGTTCAACCGCATTAACGGATTTTGGAATATGTAAACATATTGATAATAAAAAGAAACCTGAATCAGGAAAAGTTGAAGGTGTATTACCATTTATGGCTCCGGAAGTAATTAAGAAACAAACTTATAGTAAAAAATCGGATATTTATAGTTTCGCCATGTTAATGTGGGAAATATCAGCAAATGGTAAACGACCATTTAATGATAGAGCTCATGATTCAGAATTAGCATTAGAAATATGTCAAGGATTACGACCAAATCCTATTACAGGTACACCACCATGTTGGATAAAATTAATGGAAGAATGTTGGGATGATAATCCTGAAAAACGACCTGATGCTGATACATTACATCGAACATTATTTGATTGGTTAAAGAAATTGGTGGAAACTCCTAAATTACCTTATAGTGTAAATACGGAATTTGCGTTAGCAGAAAATTGGAGAATTCGAGGTCAACATCAACAACCCACCAATACAACTATCAACACTATTAATAATACTATTACTATGCCAAATGATAATGATACTACACCAATTGAGAATATTACATTAGTGATGGACGAGGAAGGAGGAATGAAAGTCGATTCGTCTCTATTATCAACAGATTCACCAGTTTCACCAGTTTCACTAGGAAATGGAGAATTTCAACATCCCATGGCATTTTATACAAGTCAATTATTTGATTTTAGCGAATTAGATTTTGAAAACTCTATTGAAAAAAATTTAGAAACTGAATCACAGGAAGGATCATCATCACATGAAGGAGAATCTAATAATGAAATGACTATCGTAGAAGAACAAAAGGAAATTCCTGTCATACCTGCCATACCTGAAATACCTTTCATACCTGAAATACCTGTCATACCTGAAATACCTGTCATACCTGAAATACCTGTCATACCTGACATGTCCGTCATATCTGCAATTCCCGTCATACCTGCCATACCTTCCATACCTATCATAACAACATCACCACCATTGGAAAAATTAACAATAAATACATTTAGAAGTATCACACCTGAGGAAGAAAAAGAAGAAGAGACGGAAGCTATTGATTCATTACCACAATCAGAAAAAGAGACGGAGGTTATTGATTCATTACCACATTCAGAAGAAGGTGGTTCACCATCACCATCATTGGAAAAATTAACAATAAATACATTTAGAAGTATCACACCTGAGGAAGAAGAAGAGACGGAAGCTAGTGATTCATTACCACATTCAGAAGAAGGTGGTTCATCACCTACAACGCCATCATCAGAAAGTGATGAGAATATTAAGAATTTAAGTACGTATATATATATTATTTAGTTATATTTGTATAGTTTTTAAAAAAAAAAATAATAATAATAAATAATGAAATAATTAGAATTTTAATTTGGTTTTATTTTTTAGGTGAATCTAAAATTAGTGTTAATCCTGAATACTCTATTGAAATTGAATTCTAAAAAGAAGTAGTAACCGCAGCAGAAAATTCATATTATCTCATAATTTCATTTAATTCATTAATTTTGACTGATTTGACTTTTTTTTTGCATTTCTTCACCTTTTTTTCTTTCAATAATAACATTACATATTTATTTTACCCACTTTTTGATTTATCTATCTATTATGTTTATGAATTTTTATTATATGTAATTATTTTGTAAATTTTTTATACATATAATAAACATAACATATTATTATATTACTACTTTTTTTGGCATTTTCTTCTTAATGATTACGATCGATATTTGTGTTTAATGTTGTGATAAACGTTCGCGTCGTTTTTTTTTTTTTTATGTTCTTTTTCGTTGCCGTCGTTGTGATCGACAAAAGTAAACTAAGAATTAGGTATCTGTTATATGATTAAGTTTAATATATTTTTAAATACTTAAACGAGTCGAGTCAAGGGTGAAATTAATTATAAAGCTTATTTGTTAAACTTTTCACTTGATAAAAAAAAGGTTAAAACAATCAATAAGAACAATAAGAGATAGTTTATTTTTCTGATTATATCTTCATTTACATATTAAGAATGCTTCTTCACATTTTAAATAAATAATTTCTATCTCATATTTTCATATTAAATTTTTTCTTTTTTATAACTTTGAATCCGAGATATATTTTTTAATATATTTTCATAATATAAAAATGACTTCAAAATGGAATCCAAGACGTTCCCAAAGTACAAAAAACGTTCTTATTCCAAAAAATTTCAACTTTAGTTTACATAATGGACCGTCATCATCACCAAATAATAATAATAATGATAAAAGGAATGCAGGATCTAATTATAATTATTATTCTCATCAGGATAATAATAATCGTACCTTTCGACCAAATCAATCATATATAGCTCAAAATTATAATAATAATAACAATTATCATTCATCGTCGCGTCAAAATAAAGAATATGATTATCCTTCATTACAAAATGATGAACAACATAATAACAATAATTATTGCTCCCCATATAAAAATACCGAACTTTATAATATCTCAAGACAAAATCCTGAAGAATTATTAATTCAAAATAATTTCCCCGCGCGTAATAATAATTTGGTATCGCAAAATTCTTTTCAAAAGTTCAATCAAGATTTTCCTTCATTGCAAAGCCGACCACTACCACCACTACGTTATCAAAATGTAAGTGAACTAAAATATTTAATATAGAACATAGAACGTAGAGAACTGGATTTTAATTAAAAAATTTCATTAAAGGCACAATTATTTTGCAATTATGTCAATACTTTACAAAGCGAGTCTCCACCTGACACACAAACCGAAATATACAATGATAATGATATATATAATGACGATTTGTATCCAATTAATGAACATACCAATAACAACAATAATGCATATAATGATGATAGAAATCAACGACAAATTGATGAATTTCAAAATAAAAATAAAAATAATCCTTTAAATAAACTTCGTAAAGTTTCTGAGCTGCGTATCCTTCCTTAAATTAAAGATTGTTTGTTTTTTTAATTATTTTGGAACCTTTTTTTTTTTTATTTATTCTTTTATCCTTAAATCAATCCAACCTTTTAAATTTTAAGCTGATCGATTTCGATCTTTGTTTCCTTTTGATTTATTCAATAACATTCAATCACAATGTATTGATGTGGTGAGTAATTTATTAAATGTTGAAGTTATTTTGTTCATTGGGTGATTTTTTATATTTTATATTTAGGCATTACATACAAATGAAGATCTTGTATTAATAGGTGAGTTTTCGATATAATAATTATAGTCAATATGAACGGAAATTTTTAACTGAATTTCTTATCTAATATATTAATATAATTTTATAGCACCAACTGGTTCAGGTAAGACAGTTGTATTTGAACTTGCTATGATCAACGTGATCATGAACGAAAGAGAAGAACGATTAAAGATGATTTATATGGCTCCAACAAAGGTATACTATGTATATTATTTATATATTATGTATGTATTATTAAATATTAATATTAACATGTCATTAAACGCGTAAAATGCTGAAGGCAATTTGTTCAGAAAGGGCTAAAGATTGGTCCCGAAAATTTTGTCCGATTGGAATTACATGTAAATTGATTCGTTTAAATGTATTCTTTTCTTTCTTATAAAAAAAAAATTTCTGTAATTTTTTTTTTTTTTTTAGGTGGAGAACTAACGGGTGATACAAATTTATCACGTATTTCTGAAATAAAGAGATGTCATATTATGTATATATTAAAAATAAATTTTTGGTAAATAATATAAAAAAGTTTTTTTTTATTAACCCTTCAAAAAAAAAAAAAAAAAAAAAACTTTGAATTCATAATAAAAGCGTGACAACTCCAGAAAAATGGGAATCTGTGACGCGTCAATGGTAAACTATCTATTGAATATAATCATTTTAAGAAATAATTTGGATTTTGGATTTTGAATAATTTTATGGCGGTTTAGGAATGATATACAAAATTTATTGCAAATGTTAAAATTATTCATGGTAAAATTTATTATTGTATATTCCTACTTTCTTTATTGAATTATTTATTGTATTAAAAAAATTTTTTTTTGTCGTGTTTAGATTGACGAAGTTCACATGTTGCACGAAGATCGCGGTGCCACTCTTGAAGTAGTTGTAAGTAAATATACATATAGTAAGTTAAATATACAATTCCGAAAATAATTTTCGCAAAAAAAAAAAATAATAATAAATAGGTCAGCCGAATGAAATTGATGGGAGCAAATACACGATTTATTGCAATTTCTGCTACAGTACCTAATATTGAAGATGTCGCGTCTTGGATAAGTTTAAATATTCATCAAAATGACCAAAATGACTTTTCTAGAAGAAGAAATAATAATAAGGCAAAAATTTTAGAATTCGGAGATGAATATCGACCAGTAAGACTTTCTCGTCATGTATTATCATATCCATCAGATGGAAATGCTTTTAAATTTGATAAATCTTTAAATGATAAGTTGAGTATTAAAATATTTTGATAGATATATATATATATAAAGAAAAAATTTTTTAATTACATAATTATTATTATTATAAGACTTCTTGATGTAATTCAACGATATTCTTCTGGTAAACCAACAATGGTGGTAAGTAAAGTAATTGTTTCCTATCACGCATTCATATTAGAATAACTTCTCCCTAGCTATTATAATTATTATATTTAAATATCTCACAAAAAAATATTCAAAATATCGCGTAGTTTTGCACCACAAGAAAATCTACCGAAGATGCTTGTCAAGCTATTGTCAAACAAATTAAACAAATGCAACAACAACGTAAAAGTATTCCGTGGCATCTTCAACCTGCGTAAGCATTGAAGCATTAATCAATGCTATTTAAAATATCATTAATATCATTAAACAATAATCAATTTTTTTTTTTTGTATTATTTAAAGAAATATAACATTTAACGATAAACAATTATCAGGTACTTATTCGTAAATATATATATATTTCTAAAACGATAATAAAAATTCGAAATTTATTTAGAGTACATTAAATATGGTGTCGTATTTCATCACGCGGGACTTCATATGCAAGATCGTAAAGATGTAGAAAATTTATTTTTACAAGGAATTGTACACGTTATTTGTAAGTCTAGTTATATTGTTATATTTCTTATTTATATTATTTATATATATTATTTACATTAATTCGGAACAAATGACAATATTATTTTAATATTTTCAAAAAAATTTTTTTATTAGGCGCGACATCTACTTTAGCTGTTGGAGTAAATTTACCAGCACATTTAGTTATAATAAAATCAACCATGGCTTACAAAAATGGAAGTTTTTCGGAATATTCTGATTCGGAAATTAAACAAATGTTAGGACGTGCTGTAAGTAATTTTATAATTTCCTATACTTTCAGTTGACAGTAATAATAAAAATATATAAAATTTAATGAAATAGGGACGACCACAATTTGATGATAATGGAATAGGTATTTGAACTTTTTATTGTTGAAGAAAAAAAAATATATTAAAAATATAAAATATTTAATTGTTTTTTTCATATTAGCTGTCATAATGACTAGTCACAATATGAAACAAAAGTACGAAGCATTAATGACTGGAATTAAAGATAATTTGGAGAGCAGGCAAGAAATAGGCTTTTTTTTTTTCCTTCTACTTCCTCGAAACTTTTTTTTGATTAATAAATTAATAAAAAGTAGAAATATTCATTGAAAAATAATTTAAATATAATTATTATATAGTTTGCACGAAACGCTTCACGAACATTTAAATTCGGAAATATGCCTTGGAACAATTAACCACGTGAACGGAGCTAAAGGATGGTTGAAATCAACATTTTTATATATAAGAATGAAATCAAATCCACGGAGATATGATCCAGAATTTAAAGAAGGACAAGATTGGGAGAAAAGACTTGAAGGTAATATTATTTATTCTATAAATTTTCACTTAACTTTCACTCTACTTTTAAATTGGAATTGATTAAATATAACTATTGTTAATTATCATTAATTGATTTAGGAATTTGCTTAAACGATTTAAGAAATTTAGTTATTTCAGAAATGATTACGATGAATGGTGATATTCTTCAGCCTACCAGTAAGTAAAATGACAAAATAAATAACAAAATAATTTTAACTCAAAATCATATATTCTATTTTTATTTTTTTTATTTTTTTTTAGAAATTGGTGAAGCAATGGCAAGATATCATTTAAAATATTTAACCGTGCAAAGTATTTTAGCAATTTTTTCATGGCATCAATCAAATTTATTGGCTACGAAAGAGGAAATTACGAAAATCATGGTATGTAATTACATAATTGCATTAGTTATATAAGTTATATAATTGCACGAATTTCTAACGCGCGCAAATAAATAAATACAAGTTACAAAAATTATCACAATCAGAAGAATTTAATGAAGTGAAATTACATCGTCATGAAAAATTGGTAAAAAAAATTATTTATTATTATCAAAATTTAATTCAATTATTCATTCGTTTTAATTCCTTTTTTTTTTTTTTTTTTTTTTTTTGAAATCCAGACGTTGAATAAACTAAATCAACACGAGAATATTAAATTCAAACTTCTTAATAAAGTAAAAGATACTGAAGGAAAAATTTTCATAATGATTCAAGTAAATAATTATTTTAAAATTTTAAATAAATTAAATTTTATTATTTTAATAATATTTTATTATAATTATCAGTGTGCATTAGGTAATATACCTTTCGAAGACGCGCAAAATCGAGTACAGCTTAATATGGAATTAAAAATTATCCTTCAACATGGTCATCGAATTATGAAATGTAATATAAGTTTTTTCACTATAATAACTTACTTATAAAGAAATGCAATAATAATAACAATGTGGAAATATTTTCACATATTTATTTAGGTCTTATTGAATTAGCTGCATATAAAGAAAATGTAAAGTTTTTGAGGATATCCGTAGATTTGTAAGTTTCTTTCATAGCATTCATTTATTTATCACAAAATAAAGCTTGAATTAGCTTTAAATATTTATTTTAATATATTAATTTGTATTATAATTAAAGGGCAAGATGTATCAAGGTCAAAATGTGGGATGACTCTCCTTTTTTATTGAGGCAACTAAATGGCATTGGTATATATTATATATTATATTCTGGTTGATAATTATGACAATAAATCCACATTTATTATTTCTCTTTTCTTTAAAGGCGAACAATATACAAAAAAGTTGGCAGAAATTGGAATAAAAACATTCGAACAATTAATAAAATGTGAAGCATGGAAAATTGAAACTGTAATTTTGTTTGGAATTCGATTTTTTTTTTTTAAAAAAAAAAAAGAAAAAAAAGTTAAAAAATAAATATTTTATTTTCAAAAAAAAGGCTTGCAATCGACATCCACCATTTGGACATAACGTAAAGAATCAAAGATTTACCTTTGATTTGATTACTTCTCTAAGACAAAAAATAATAAAATTTTTTATTTTTTTATTTTTTAGGTCCGTGATACGGTTATGACTTTGCCTATGATAAAACTTGACATAAATCATGTATTCTTTTCTATATTTTTATATATAAAATAATTAAAATAACTAAATGACTTAAATAACTTAAATATATATCTAATGGTAGGGATTTTCCAAATCCAAAGAATATGATTTATACGTGGTGAACATAAATTTGACAAATAAAAACAACAAGAAAGTAATCACCAAACGTTATGGAATTAATTTAAATGTGACATTCATAGCTGTCACCGAAGATAATAATGTATTATTAGATTTTCGACAAGCTGCGTAAGTTTTATAAATATTTATATTCCTATGAAGAAAGAAAGAAATAAAGAAAGAATTGAAATTTTTTATTAATATAATTAATATAGATTATGGAGAGTTCAACAAGGATGGAAATTTGAATTTAAAGTATCAAAGAAAATCAATCCAAATCAAAATATAAATTGTTCTGTTTTACCAGAAGAATATAGTAAGTTTTTTAATTGCGTGTTAATTGTGTATATGTATCCAAGTTCTAATAAATTTTTTGAATAATATTGTAGTCGGTTTGGATTTTCATCAATCTATTTTATCAGACTTACAATCAAAATCTTCTTGTAATATTCTTGTCTCACCCAAAAAATCATCTCCTCAATCTTCTTCTCAACTACCTTCACAAGGAAATTATCAACTTGATAATGAAAAAAATCAACTTAATAATAATGATAACGATATTGAACAACAAGAAATCATTGAGTCAGATGATTATTCAAATGATAAGAATAATAAGAATGATAAACCCACAGAATCACAGAATGAACACAACAATATCATTATAATTGATACTGATGAAGAGGAGGAAAGAAATCCAAATAACGATAATTTAATTAATAATAATAATCAAGGATTTGAATTATTACCAAACGGAAGATTTAAATGTAATCATTCTTGCAAAGATAAACAAAAGTATGATTTCGTTTAATTTTTTTTATTTCTTTTTTGAGTTTTATATAAGATTTTTTTTTTTCCAAAAAAAAAAAAAAAAAAAAAAAAAAAAAAATCTTTTTTTTTTTTTTTTTTTTTTTTTTTTTTTTTTTCAATTTTTTTTTTTTTTTTTTTTTTTTTTTTTTTTTTTTTTTTTTTTTTTTTAAAAAAAAAAAAACGAAATAATAAAAATAATAAAAATTTAATTATTATTAACAATTCCTGTAATAGATGTGCTCATGAATGTTGTAAAATTGGATGTCGACGTAAACCAAAAAAACGAAAGAATAATTCAAAATCTTCATATGACAAACAACAACTTACTTTAGATGAACCAGCATTAAAGACAAGAAGAATTAATAGTATTAATAGTGATAAAGACAATGATGATGATAATAATAATAATGAATTAATTTCAATTACTGATGATGAGACTACTTTTAGTAGTACGGATGAAAATGAAAAGTTTATGAACCCTTCTCTTGAACTTGAACAAAGCATATTCGATAAGAAGAAAACCCAAGGAATAAAAGATTTACCACCACCATGCAATAAATTAAATAAATTCCAAGTTTCATCTTATTCTAAAGAGAATTTAGAAAATTTAAAGAATTTTGGATATGATGATAATTGGAATGATAATAAAAATGATAATTGGAATAATAATGAAAATGATAATAAAAATGATAATTGGAATGAAGAAAATAATAATTTCAAAATACAAGAAAAAAATAAATTATTAAATGAAAATCTTGAAAGAGGAAAACAACAAATATTTTTATATCAAGAAGATAATAATGAAAAATTTGAATTTGAAACAACATATGAATCAACAACAACAACATTAGATGATGATGTTGCTGAAAGTAGTAACAATTCAAAGAAATTCAATAATTTTCATGAAGATAATGATTTATTAGAAATTAATATTATACCTTCAATTTCTGAAATTTCTGAAATTAAAGAAGAAGAGGAGGAAGAAGAGAAAAAATGGATGGTAAAAGAAAAAGAAACTCATTTCAAAACATTTACAGAAGCTTTGGTTATATTTGATTATGTACTTCAGAGTATTATTTAATTTTCTATTTATGATATTTTTAATTTATGTGCAAATATTTTTATTTTGATATTTGTTGAAGAGATATTATTATTATTATTACTTGTCCTGTTATCAAAATAAATTTATATATAACTCTATGTTCAAAAAAATTTGTATAAAAAATTGTATAGAATATATAATATAGATATAATATAGAAATAATACAGAGATAATATATATATATACATAGATATATATTTAGCTATAATTTTAATTAACTATAAAATATGAAATTCAGAAATAAAAAAAGAAAATATAAAAAATGAATTCACATCCGAAGTTTCAAAAAATATAATAAGTAAAAAAAAAAAAATTAAATAAAATAAAGAAAAGAAATAAACACCAAAAAAGTAAATTACATAAGATATAATAATAATAATACAATTCTTTTTTCGATTTAAAGAAATTAAAAAACAAATGATTAGTAGTTGATTCATAATTATTGATTGAATTGATAATGTGTCATCAAATTATCAAATTATTAAATGTTTATGTTGTTGTTGTTGAACAAGTATCATAAGAAATAATGATACAATATTCCGAAGTCATCTCGATGTGAATATAACCAAACCTGCTTATATCCTTCTTGGTGCCTTTGTTTAAGTGTTTCTTGAACATTAATCAAATATTCTTTTTGATGTGCTGGTATTAAATCCAATACTGAAATAACAGTAATAATAATAATAATAACAATTAATAACAAAGATAACTATTTATAAAAATATTCACATCACATAATATCTTGGTAATAAAAATAATAATTTACCTTTACTTTTGAAAGATTCATCTTCCAATACATTACAATCAACAAATTTACGTAAAATTTCACGATTTATATCTAAAGCCAATACAGGAACTCCACCTTTGTTGATTTGTTCTATTACCCCTGATATATTGGCTGATGCTATAAATAATAATAATAAGTTGATAATAATAAGTTGATGATAATAAGTTGATGATAATAAGTTGATGATAATAAGTTGATGATAATAATAATAAGTTGATAATAATAATAAGATAATATAATAATACCTTTATCAATTAAAAATTGTTTTTGTTTATGTTTCATTTTTTTATTATTTTTGATTGATGGAAATCCAACAATATTTATGGATAAATTATTTTGATAATTTAAAGAATCCATTTGTATTGATTGATGCGAATTTCCAATATCATGTACAGCTATATTTATTTATTTATTTTTTTTTTTTTAAAAAAAAAAAATAATAATTGATATAAATAATTGAAATAAATAATTGAATCATTAAATACTTTACACACAAAAAATTCGATAAAAGAAGAATTCATACATTGTTCAGATTGAGGAGATAAAGAATGTTTATTATGATATTTGGATCCAGAAGAATGTAAATCAATTCTTGCTTGTTCAATAATCTCACTATTAAGTCTAACACAAAGTTCATTGCGAGGAACTATTAAATAAATAATATAAAAATAAATACATATAAATAAATAAACGCACAAGTAAACAAACAAGCAAACAAACAAACAAATAAATATAATAAATATTATTACCTTCATCTTCAGTTTTCCATAATAAATTTTTAACTTTAACAGTAGTTGTCATGGTAGAATCAATTCTAGAAGAAGAACTACTACTACTATTCTTATATAAATCTTGATTTCTATGTCTCATTATGACAATCCAATTAATTCCTTGTTTCTTACAAGCATTTGCTAACATTTCAGGTGTCAAATCAGATGATTCTTCATACATAAAATCTGCTTTAATATTATGTGCCCATAATTCATGAATAAGATCTAATCTTTCTTCTAAATGAACTTTTCCAAAACTTGCTACATATACATCACACTAAATTTTTATATGAAAACATAAGAGATATTTAAATATGATGATAATAATAAATAATTTTAATATAATTTAAATTTACCTTCTTTGAAGCCCAATATCCAAAACTTTTTTCATCATCATTTTTCTTCGATTGAAGCATTTTAAGAATAGTTGATTGATAATTTACCAAAGTAAATACAATTTTTTGCATTGCAATATTAACTCCAGTAGCATAAATTTGTTGCCTACCACTATTAACAATACCAGTACTACTACTACTACTACCATCACCACCACCACCACCTCCTCCATTAACTGATGTAACTGTCATTGGATGTCGAAATTGTTGTATTAATGAATCATATCTACCACCTGCTGCTAATACATCTTTACGATTATTATCATCCATAACTTGAAATACTATTCCATTCTTATAATAATGATTATTATATCTACAAATAAAATAATAATAAATAATGAGAGATGAGAATTAATAACAATTAAAAATCAATAAGAATTAATAATAATTACACTAATAATGGAGAAATTATTATTTCACGTTGGACACCTAAACATTTTGCATATTTCATTAAAAGTTTAAAATCTTTAATGGCATCATGTATCCGTGTACGCATTGAAGTTGATGAAATTAATTTATCTAAAGTATTCGTAATAAATTCCAGATCCCCTTTTTATTATTATTATTATTATTATTATTATTATTATTATTATTATTATTATTATTTATTATATTTATTTATTATTTTTTATTATTATTTGTTAACAGAAAAATATTAAATTAGTTAAATTAATTAAATTGTAATTAAATCAATTAAAATAGAACAAATAAAATAAAATAGAATAAATGTAATTGATTAAATTAATTAATTACCTTTAATATCAAAAAGGACTAATTCATCAAGTACACTTCTAGGTAATTTATATTTATTAGAAAGTTGAGCTCTTATTTGATTGATTGAATATTTTTTCTCCAATTGTCCTAATAAACTATAAACCCCTCGTCTTATTTCTTCCGGTATCCGACAGCAATCAAATATCGTTTCTATAATATTTGTATGATTTAAGAAGAAACAATAATTGATAGATTTTAATGGAGGAAATTCTTCAATAATTTCATCCACTATTTTAAATATTTCAGCTTCGGCGACCATTGGTGAATGTCTTGAATGAATTATATCAAAATCTGCTTCATATACAAAACGTGGTTGACCTCCAACAATGTTTTCTCTATAATAATATAATTAATATATATTATTATTATTATTTGATTAATAAATAATTAATTAATGTATAATTAATAATGATTTTAAAAAATAATTGCAAGAAACAAAATAAAACTTTAATTCAACCTGTATACTCGATCAAAAACATATCTTTTTATATCTGTAATATTATTACGAGAAACATATCTTGCAAATGGAACTGTCAAATCGTAATTGAGCTAATATAATAATAAAATTGTTATTAAATATAATTATTATTAAATATTGTTATTATTAAATATTAACAATAATAATATTATTATTATCAACATATATTATAAAATAATATTAAAATTAATTATTTATTAAAATTACATACTTGAACAATTCCACCTTCAATATCCATCAAATGAACGGCTTTTTTATCTTCTTCATAAATATCAGATTTAGGCATCATTAATGGTGTACTGATTTCAACACCACCGTGATGTCGAAAGATTCTAAGCATGTGATCTCGCACTCTTCCAAATGTGAGAGCACTTAATTGATCAAATGCAATATTACCCTATAATATAAGTGTAATATAATATAAAAATAAATATAATGTAGATAATAATATACATATATAATATAAATTAATGAATAAATATAAATATGTAAATTAAAAAAAAGAAAACAAATAAAATATTACTTACAGAATTAAAATCGTAAGTATGATCTTTATGCTTATCAGGAGATTGTGTGAATAAGGTAGAAATTAAAGTACGATAATGTGGTGTATTGGGATTGGCTGAGTAAAAAAAAATTATGAGAAATTATATAGAAATATGGAGAAATGTAAGATATATTAAATATACAAACCCATTGTTCTAACATATTCTTGTACATGTTCATCTTCTAATTTTGCTGGCATCCATTCACTTTTTAAAAGTTCCAAACTTGTTGGTCGATTCTTAGGATTATGATGTAAACACCAACGAATGATGTATACTTGATTTTCCATTTTATTTGTAGAAAAATCTTTGGGAAATATTATTTCGGGTTTTCGTAGACCGAGAATTGTCTTTTATTAAATATAATAAAATATTATAAATATATTAAATGATAAATATAATATTAAAAATATATATAAATAACATATACAAATAATAATGTATAAATTAATAATAAATGTTAATAATATTTAAACATTAATTAATATTTTCTTACCACTCGACGTTCCATTTCAGTAGAAAATTTGTAACAAATTTCAAAGAATATTATACCTAGAGAATATATGTCGACTACAAAAATAAAAATAAAAATAAAAATAAAAATAAAAATAAAAATAAATAAATAAATAAATGTAAAAACCTTATGACAAATCACTCAATGTACACAAAATACCTTTATGATTATAACGAAGACCAAAAATTTTATTATTACTCAAAACTTCCGGAGCAACATATAACGTTGTTCCAACATCTAAATATGGATGTTTATAAATATTAATCATTCAACTTAATATATATAAAATTCCTAATATTGAATATATTTTTAAATGATATAATGAAAAATTTGGTGACAATTACCTCCAGTCATTGAATCTTCTCGACTACTCATTCTATCAAAATTAGATACCCGAAATGATCCAACTTCATCACTTGTGGTTGCCAATCCAAAATCTCCAATCTAAAAATATTTATTCATCCATTAATAATTGTTATAATATAATAAAATAAAATAAAATCGGATTTAAAGTTGAAATGAATAAATTAATACCTTGACATCACCATTTGCATCAAGAAAAATATTACTAGGTTTTAAATCTCGATGAATCTATAATATATATAATTTATATATATTTTATAACACAAATTTTATAACATATGTTTAACCAATTCTAGATTTCAAAGGAATATCATCATTCTAGGAATTAAAAAATATTAAATTATTACCATGCCCTTTTTAATAAAAAAAAAAAGTGGATTTATATATTAGTACATATTTGTGTATATTAAAATATGAGAAATGCTGGATAATGAAAATTACTTACACTGCGATGTATATGCGCTTGATAAATTATAAATAAATTAAGTATAATAAATTAGATTTAATATATATATATATATATATGTATGCATGTAATGTAATGTATATGTAATGTAGATGAAATAATATACAATATATTTACCTAGTCCTTCCAAGATTTGACGAAATATTCTTAAATAAGGAAATAAATAATGATGAATTTAGAACAAATTTACCAGCATTCATGACAACATGAGCGACACGCATTCCGCATAATTAAAATATTAAAGCATTATTAAATTACCTCCAACCATCATCCGGTTTAACACCAATATCAATAATATCTTTTAAAGTTTGTTTTTCACAATATTCCATTTGTATATAAAGTATTCTCGTTTTTTCTTCTTTAGGAGAAAACTTTTTAGAATTTCCAATTCTATTTTTATTACTGGTCATCATCATAACTTTAGTCAGATCATCATCTTGTAATTCAAATTCGGATGAAGAAGAAGAAGAAGAAGAAGAAGAATATGATATTTCCGGATTATGACGATTAAGATTACTCTTATGATATCCTTTACTATTAGAAGTGTTGGTTGATAAAAAATCAAATTCATCATCATCGGAAAAATCATCATCATCTTCATTATTATCTTCATCCTCCTCCTCCTCATCATCATCATCATCTAGACTTGAAGTTGCTAATGATCCCCCAATATTTTCACTAAATGATTCAGTTTCTTTCCAAGCTCCATCTGAATCTATCATTATCATTATATTAATAAACGTTAGAATTACAAAATAAAATAAAACAAATAAAACAAAAAAACAAAAAACAAAAATAAACGTTAGATATACCTTCAAACCATGTGGTATAATAACGCACCACATATTGATGATGTAATCTTGATAAGGTAGTTATTTCCCTTAGAATTTTACGAGTTTTTTCAATATCATTGGGATTCAAACGAACTTTTTTTATTGCGTAAAACCTTTTAATTAAATTAAATTAAATTAAATTAGATTAAATTAATCATCAATAATAATTAAAGTTATAGTTAAATCTAGTTAAATATATGCATACCTATCATCTAATTTATTTCTAGCTTTAACTACTTCTCCAAAAGCACCTTAATTAAAATTAAGTTTAATTATATAAAATTATATTTAAATCATATTTAAAAAAATTATATTTCAAATCAAATAATATTAATTAATATTAATTAATTATAAACCTTTTCCCAAAAAATGAATTTCTTCAAAATCAAGACGGTATCTTGAAAAGGTGGTACTTTGGGATGAACAAGGTGGTGAAAATGCAAATTGAGTATTACTTTCAACAAAGCTACCAGCCAACTCATTATTATCCTTGTTGAGTGGATGCTGATGATTACTCCTTACATTATTTGTTTTGCCTAAATATATAATCAAAAAGAAGATATTAAGATATTATTATTATTAAAAGAAGATTATTATTATTAATGATGATTTACCAGATGATGTTATAAACTTTAATGGAGTATCCAATAAATTAACAGAACCATCATTAAAAAATGGTTGGTTAAGTAATTCTAATGGAGAAGGTCTCTTCCAATGTGATCTAAACATAAAAATATTAATTATAATAAATAATAATAATAATATTTCATCATAAATTATCACTTACTGTTCAAACATAGATTTCAGAATACTTCGGACATCAGTTGGAATTTCATATTCAGCTACAATAAAAAAAAAAAAATAAAAAATAAAAATAATATAGATTATATAATAATAATTATTATTATTATAAATTATATAATAATATAAAATTATGTTGTTGATTTAACTAACCAGATTTCAATAAATCCTCTAGTGAATTATATTGTTTAATAACATTCAAACCAAATAACATTTGTATAAAAATGACTCCAAGACACCAAATATCATTTTTCCTAAATAATTAATTAAATCAAATTTATTAAATATTAAATTATTAATTAAATACAATCTTTTTATTATTATTATTTTTATTTTTTTACAAACCTGGAATAAGGTTTTGTCTCTTGTTCAGGTGGTACCCTGATTAAAAAATATATTAAGTAAATATAATGATAATAAATAAAATATAAATAATGATAATATATAATATTTAAACAAATATATATATTTTGATAATAAGTAATAATAAGTAATTATAATTATATATAATAAAACTTACCATCTTTTAAATGAATTGTTTCCAGAATAATTAGAATAATTGAAAAATGGAAAGCTTTCATGAAAATCTAATTAATTATTAATTTATTATATATAAAATAATAATCATTGATGATAATTATATTTTTAAATTTTCTTTTATATTGAAAACTCACCTAATAACTTTCGATGAAAATTAACATCTGATAATTTAGCTATACATTCTCCTTTTCCATCAACTTCAGTAAGTAATATATTGGAGGCTTTAATATCTTATTTTTTTCAAATAAAAAAATATATATATTATAATAAATAATTATTACATATAAACCCTCACCATAATAACAAAAATATTATCATGATATTATTATTTTTATTTACCTTTATGTACAAAACTATTTGCATGAACATAATCCAAGGCATTCAATAATTGTTTCATATATTCTCTTGCAAATGGTAATTGAATGGTACCACATTTTTTCAATAAATCTTCCAATGTACCACCTCGTGCATATTCCATAAGTATATATAAATTCCATCCTGCCTCGCTTCTTCCAAGTTCGGATTCATAAATTGTAATTAAATTTGTATGTCGAAGTCTTTTCACTCGAAAGAGATCCTTTTCTATCTCTTCAAGCTTCCATAATAAAATAATTATATATAATAAATATTTGGTTCGCTTATTATGATTTATTATGATTATTATTATTATTATTATTGAAAAAAATTAATAATAATAATAATAATTAATAAAAATAAAATAAATTTTATTTTTATTATTACTTACCTTTCTTTTGCCTTCAATATTAAAATAATATGGGGAAACTATTGAAATTTCCTTTAATACCAACACATGGCGCTCTGATGGTTCCACATTCTTGCCTTGAAAATTAGTGGCTTGAACTAAATACGTTGAACCAATGGTTCCTAAAGAAAAATAATTATTATAAATTATCTAAATTATTGTAAATTAAATAGTTGTAAATGAAAGAAAATTACCTTTTCCTATAGATGGACCAAGAACTACAGATTTGAAAGGTACGTCCTGTTAAATATGTTATATATGTATTAAATATATTATTATTAAATATAAGAGATAATTTAATTTATTATGATTTATTATTATTATTATTATTATTGATAAAAATTTACTTGTGAAGCATCAGGATTCAACATAACAAACGCATCAAAATTCACTGTGGGAAAAGTCAATGATGAATCAACCAATTTTTTTGAATTTTGATCTTCTTTAACTTTCATCTGCTTTCTTTTTAATCTTTCTTCTTCAAATTTTGCCATTTTATTTTGTGTTTCTTCGTTAATTTTTTGAGCCAATATTATACGCTCTTGCTCTTCTAATTGACGAGCCCGAAATTCTTCCTCTATTGCCTTTTTTTGTTCAACCTATGAAAAATTACCATCAAATTAACACCAAATTAACACCAAATTAATACCAAATCAATGTCATGCATGAAGATTCATGAAGAAGATAAATCGACGGGAAAATATTCACCTTCGTCATTTGTTCAATTCTATTTAACATTTGTTCGTGAAAAGAAGTTTGCTTGGTGACCATCTTCACCCCATTATTATTCATTGTTATAAATTCTTGAATAAATTGTGCAATCGTGTAAACCATTTCTTGTCCAATATTTTCTTTTATCAAATTAGAAATATGTCCTTGAGCTTTATTTAAATGTGTCTCGGATAAACCTCGAGCATTTTCGATCTTTATATCAGGTGCAGAACGGGGATATGTTTTGGGAAATCTAATTTGATTAAAATAAATGAATAAATAAATAGATAAATAGATAAATCAATTAAAATAAAATAAATAAATAAATAAATAAATAATTATTATGATTTATAATTATTGATAACTTACTTAACGTGCAAATCCAATGATACATGTTTCTTTAATTCTTGTTCTTGTGGCTTAAGATGAAGTCTAAACTCATGACCTGTTGGAACAACCTATTATAGAATATTATATATTTTAATATGTATATTCTAACATAACAATAACAATAATAATAATATCAATAAATAAATAATAATAAATCACCTTCCACGCGGTAGTAACAACAACGGATTCATAATCTTCCATAAAAATCGCTAATTTCGAAATTTTAAGAATTATTTAAAAAAACTTTTTTTTCTTCAATTGAATAAAAATGTCATTTAGAAATTCTTTTAATTAAAAAAATACCTTTTAAAGCTTCGATTTCATTTTCTTGTGCTTCCTATTTTTTTAATAATAAAAATATATATTTATAATGAAATATAAATAAAATATAAATAAATATAAATGAAGATTAATAAGAATTCTCTTCGAATTACCTTTGCTTCTTTTAGACCTAATTGAGTGGTCAGAAGTGATTGTTGTTTTCTTGATTTAACCATGAAGGGCAATTGAAATCACTGCATGGCTTAGAAAGGATAGTACTAATAAATGTTGAGAAATTCACAATATATATAGATATATATATATATTATTTACAATAAGAGAATTTATACGTGTAGACAGTATAATGATACAGTATATATGAATGATGGGTAATTATTATTATAAAAGACTTTATAATTACGATAAGAAAGAAAAAAAAAACAAATAGAAAAAGTATAGGAAAAATAGAAAAGAGGGTGAGAAATTTATAAACGTGGTATCAAATGTTTTTTGTTTGTTCTTCACATTTAAATAATAGAAAAAGATTTATTTCTTGAACCACGTGAAATTGTGCAAATACCGTTTATATACTTTTTAATTATTTTATTTGCGTGATGCAATATTATGCAAAGAATTACATTTATGATAATGAATGAACATTTGGTACAATGATTTTCTTTGCATATAATTTAATAATGACAGATAAAAGTTCATTGAAACAAAAATGAATTTGATACATAAATCGAGATATACATTTTATTCAAAAAATAATGATAATGATTTTAATACAGTGCAGTACTTCTATTTGTATCTTTTGATTTTTCTCTCAATTTTTGGCTTACGTAATATATGGACGTGACCTATAGAGCGATTTTAATTGGCCAATAAGGTTAAATTTCAATATCAAATAAAAACATATTAATTTATTTAATTTATCTCTCGATCAGTTAAGATAAAGTCTGGAATTGCAATTATATTAATTATTTAAAATATCTACAATATTGTAATTGTACTTAATTTACCCTATCAGATACTTCATGTATGTACATTTTAGTAGGAACATAATTGTACCATTGTGCAACACACTATGTTACAAACCGTTTCCATTTTATTTTCTTAGATTTTTGAGCACCATTTTTTGGTTACAGAAACAAGTAGCATATACTATGGCACTATCCTATTCAAAGACTTAACAACAATCAAATATTTTTTTTTAGGATTTATCAAAATCTTATAGTAGAAAATTGTACATTGTAATGAATTATATTAATATTTATATTGGTATAATTAATTATTTATTTATTTATTATCCATTATGCATTATTCTTGATTTGTTTATCTTGTAATTATGTACCAGAGATATTATCTCCAGATCTTATTCCAGTATTATCTTTAGCTTTAGTTTTATTTAGTGATTATAGAAGAGATAGTTCTAGTTTTAAAATAAAGATTGCCCTTTTGATTCTATACTTTGATAGAATAAATTCTCTTATAACTTACTTGAGAAGTGCTAAAACCCTAGCCTCAACAATTACTTACCTTCCAATGTAATAGCTATTGCAATTATGAATTGAAGATTATGAAATTACAGCCTGTATCATAACTATTACATATTTAATCATCCACAAGTCCATAATTATTTCAATTTCAAATAAAAATAATAACAAAAATAAATATATTATAAAAAAAAAAATTACTTTTTCAAGAATCAATTTTTTTTTTCTTGATTTTCCTTTTAAATTTTGTGATTTTTTGTTTTTAAAGACCTCTGTCCTTTAGTAACTCAAGTTAATTTTAGTTCTAACTGCATCAGAGCATCTCAGCATTGTTACATTAAAGTAAGATATTCTTCTGGAAATTTTTTATAAATTTTTGGTCTTATACAATATATAATTTTTTCAGTAGCTACTTCCCGCATCAATATTCCTAAATATATCTAATGCCTTGATATATAACTTTCCAATTAGAATTCTTGGAGCAATTATCTTGTTAGAAATTTCTGAATTCATAATTCACAATATTGAATTGCATTAAAAATAATTTCATTTTCCTTTTCTGACATTAAATATATTTAATTCTTAATTTCTTCTAATAATAAATTCTTTTCAAGTTTGGTAAGTGATGAAATCATTTTGGATAAATTCTGTGATATTATTAAAGTCAATAGATATTACATGCTTTAGATACAGTAATTTTTCATTCATGAAATTTTTTTGATTTTTAATTTAATAAATAATAAAAGTCTTATTAAATTATAATTGAACAAATAAACAGAAAAAAAAAAATTATATATATAAAAATTAAAATATAAAATTAAATATAAAATTAAATATAAAAATTAAATATAAAAATGTGAATGCATTATGAAAAATTTTTAATATATATGATATACAAACTATAGTATTATAATTCTCTTTTATAACAAAAAAAAAAAAATTCTTTTTCTAAAAATACATAAAATACACAATAACACGTAAAAAAATTATGAACGTGAAACAACCCTTTTCTTTTTATTTAGTTCTAATCTTTTACGTATAGATTGAGTTAACTCATCATCTGTAAGCGCTGTATCTTCTCCCCCTGTACTCGTATCATCCTCACCAATCTCATCTTCTGAACCCACGGGTCCAAATCCATTACTTTTCACTCGTAATTCATCTATTTGTCCCATCAAATCTTCAACAACTGTCTTATCAACTTTCTCACTTTGTCTGGCCTCCTCTCTAATTTCTCTTTCAAGGTCATATAATAATTCTCCGAGAATTTGATCAGGAAACATTTGTCCATAAGAAGCACCAAAAAAGTGTGACAATTTACGATTACTCTTTAATCGTTCTTGTTTATCCCCAACATTTTGTCGTGGTGGTGATGATGAAAAATTAACATATGGAGTTGTTGGTGCTGAAGTTGACGCAGAACCTTGAGAATATCCTGCTCTATCCTCATAATCATTATTTCCATCACTATCTGCCATATAATTAATAAGTTCAAACATTGCATCTCTATCATTATCCATTAAATATTCAAGTGATACAATACTTCTTCTATGATGTTCTAAATTTAAAATTCCCGGATCATTCTTGACCGGTGATTTAGATAAAATTAAATCTTGTGGAGGGATCTCTCCAAACATTTTTTCCAATTTAACTGCTCGATTAAGATGACGTCTTCTATCTATCGCTGATAACCTTGTTGGTGAAATTTGTGAATAAAATGAATTTGATCCATTCCTCTTATTTTTTGGTTTGGGTACGGGTGGTAATGGAACAACTTTAAAATCTGCCTCCTTACCCAATGCTATATCGATTGGAACTCTTTCACCCAAAAAACTATTAAGTTTTTGTAATTTCTTACGTCTATATTCTTTGGTATCTATGTTCATAATAACTAAGGGTACATTTAAGTTCTCAAAATGTTTCTCGTCGCTAGCATTATTATTGCTACTAATATCTCTAATATCTGGAGTTTTATTATTAAAATTATTATCATGTGGTGAAGCTAATGGTGGTGGAATCATTGAATCAGATGCTCTACGAATAATTCGATTTCTATTTTCATAATTTTTAATTTGTAATTCATTATTATATTCGTTATCACCATAAAATGAACTTTTACCAGTTTTAGGGATTTTAGTTGGTGTAGGCGACTGAATCGCTGGTTGAGCCAATGTTTGATAGACCATATTTTCATCAAAATTTTCACCAAGAATTACTTTTAATTTTCTATTTTTCCTTCGTAATATTCGTTTATCATTTTTATTTAATTCATTCGTAGTCCGTATTTTTTGTGTATCATTCACATTTAATCCAAGGGTTTGGGGCATTTTATGAGTTGTAATTATTGTTGGTGCGGAATTTTTTTTACTTTTAAATATATTAGGAGTTGTTTGAGAATCTTTCAATCCTCGTCCAAATATAGATTCTAGCTTTTCAACTCTCTTCTTTCGATTCCATACTTCTTTTGCCATTTTTCGATTTACGGAATCAATTGAAAATGCACTTTTAAAATCATCATCTTCGCCAAATCCTATTTTACCATTACCGTAGAGATTTTCTTTAGGTAACACTATGATTTGATCTTCAATTCTACCAACTTTTTCCCCAAATACCCATTGAAGTTTACGTTCCTTTTTCATTCGTCTCATCCTTTGTGCATTGGTCATCCGATTTTCTACATCAAAATAACCATCAACACCTTTTATCTCCCGTTCAAATTTAGTATCTATTCTTTCTCCTTTATTATCAAGAAGTATTGTTTCAGGAAAGTATTGGGATAATGTAGAATGAAGAGTTTGTTCTTTGAAATGATGAGAAATTGGTGCTTGTTCAGAACTATTATTAAGACTCATGTTGTTAATTACCAACATTAAAGACATATTTGGACGGAAATATTTTTCAAGAGGCTCAATCATATCATAACTTTTATATCTTTCAAAATCTAAAAAAAAATAAAAATAAAATAAAATTATTAATAATTTTTTTTTTAAAAAAAAATATATTTAATATTATCTAATATTTTTAACGATATTTTTATGAATATTTTTCCAATACCTGTTTTCTTTATACTTAAACATTCTTTCCATTCAGGACTTTCTTCAAATCGAATAAAGGTATGCCCTCTCATTAATTGATAAACAGCTTCTTGTGCTTCATCAAACATATTTCTTTCTACCTCACAATCATCATCTATTGGCCAAGCAATTTCTCTCCTTATTTCATCACTTAAATTAACTTGTAACGGAGCATTCACGCAAATATATGTAAGAAATATATATCTAGCGTAAATGACTGCAGATTGCTGTTCTTCATAATAATTGTTTTCTATATCACAAGAAACTCCTGCCGCAAATAATTCCACTTCAAGCCAAAACAATAAATTTTCTGCAGAAAATTCACGAATAGCAAATTTTTGAAAATAATTTAAGGAAAGAGTATTGGCAAGTACTGCTTGAAAACGAGATTCTGAAGCTTGAATTGTATTTTGTATTTGATTAATAGATGGTAATGAACTACTGGAAGAATTTAATATTTCAGGGGAATTTGGTGTGGATATGGAAGAATTTATTTGATTGGATGGAATAACTTCATCTATATTATCACTGATATCACTGTTATCATTATTAACATTATTAGAAGAAATATTTGGCAAGCTTAATCTTTTTTCTTTTATTGATTCATTATTAGGAGAAATTGGAGGAATTGGTGGAAGATCTTTATCAACAATGTATTTTAAATTATCAAATTCTGATTCATCTTCTTGATCTAATCGAGGATGATAACCTAACCATTAAAAAGAAAAATAAGAAAAATAAGAAAAATAAGAAAAATAAGAAAAATAAGAAAAATAAGAAAAATAAGAAAAATAAGAAAAATAAATAAAATAAATAAATGAATATAAATAAAATAAAATTAAAATAAATAAATAAAATTGAAATAAATAAAATAAATATAAAAAATTTTAAATCATCATTAATAGAGAAAATCAAACGTACTTTCATAAATGTTTAATACATGTACCGTATCGCCATGTTCCAAGACATCACCAACCAAATCTCGAAAACGTAAGGCAACCATACTAACATCGTAAAGCAAACCAACTTCAAGAGGTTCATGTTGAATTACAGTTTCAATTCCACCGAATTTGAAAGCATATTCAGCTTCAATCTGACGAGCTAATCTTTCTACTGTAAATGATTTTTCTATTGTTACAGGAAAATTTATTTTTGAACTGATATTTGCATTAATCTGTAAAAATGATGAAATGTGTTGTATGGTTCTTGAAAATCGTTTTTGATGAATATGAGTGAAGTGATGTACTGAACGAATAGAGGAAGAAGGACTCAATAATGTACTATTTGATGCATTTCTTGTATAAATTTGACTTAATTCAGATGATTCATCTGCCTCCTCGTGGTTAACATAATCAATATGATCATTATGGTTGTTATCATCGTGGCTAATATTCGAAGTAGAAGAAAATAAAGAATTGGTATCACTAGCGGAATCAATGGAATTAATTATATCTTGGATTTCTTGTGAAAATGAATTTTTAGGATCGATCTTAGAATTGGAATTGGAATTTTTTTGTGAAAGACTTCTAGCACTAAATACACGACGATGTGAAGAAGTTTGAACATTAGAAGATGTACTTGATTGATTTGCCTTGTTGTTGGTCATTGGAAAAGGAAGTGAATGATTTCTAGTATGAGTTATGACATCCCTCCGAGTTGAGAGTAATGATCCATTATTTGAATTTGATAAAAAATTATTATTATAAGAGATTATAATATTATCTGTTTGATTTTGAAGTTCCATTACACTATTAACAACTATTACAATATGAAATTAAAGAAATTAAAATAATATATGTATATATATATATATATGTATGTGATTTCAGTGAATAAAAATAAATTATGTATTAAATGTAACAATTTGAAAATTTTGTACAATATTTATTCTTTAAATCACTTAAATCACTTTGTAAAAAGATGTAAAAAGATTTAAAAAAAGGATGCATATCAAAATGTGTGTATAGAATAGATAGAATAGAGAGATATATATATATATAATAAAATATATACCTCTTGTTAATACGAGAGAATGAGAAAATAAAGTTGAGAAGGTAGAAAAGGCAACACAAACTGTATGTAAATTTTGTGAAATGGTTCTCTTTGACTTTTTTAGATGGAATGGGTCATCTCACATTTTTCCCCTTGTTTCACTACTATTATCGACGACAACCCAAAATTATTTAATAATGGGTAGGAATTTGATATCCATTTGAAGTAAATAACGGAAATATTTTATTGCCCCATCAAAATTTAAGTTGTTCCTTTGTTCGTTTGGTCAAAAGGGATTTTAATTCACATTTAATTTTTAATATAGATCTCTATTATGAATATAAATAGTATAAATATAATTTCACAAAGATTTAACCTAGTTGCTGTATGTACACGATACGATTCTAACAGGTGATTTTCTTCCGACTTTCTCGGAGCTTTCTCGAATAGCTACTAGATTAATCCTAAAAAGAGTATTAACTACAGGTTTTTGTAAATTTTTTTTTTAGAAATTGTCCATTATTTGACATTATTTGTACATATGACAAATATAAAAAGAAAATAATTATTTTAACTATTTGATCTATTAAGAATAGATTAAAAAAAAAATAGACTAAAAAATAGACTTAACAACATTTAACTAAATTTAGTCAAACAAGTTTTCGCTTAATAAATATTAAGAAATGTCAATATGCCCGCCTACAATTATTTTTTTTAAACTAATAAACTAATATGTGTTAATCATGAAATCTCGGATATAAAAATCCAGTGATTGTATTGTCTCAAATGACTTGATCATTTCGTCATTTCTTCAAATGATAGGACATTTACGAATATTTATATTTTTATTTATCAGCGGGATGAAAATGATGACTCTGATGTTTCAATTCAATTAAAAATTTTTTATAATAAAATTCTTCTCTTATTCAAGTTATTTCAATATTTTTTTTTATTTGCTTATTTAAATGACTTCAAATAACTTTTACATGATTTTTATTATATTTATTAATTAATTATAAATTTTTTATTAATCGATGAAAATAGATTATAGAACGATGCCTAATATAGCAATATTTATGACATATTCAGTGATTGGTTTTGGTTATTACCTTGAAACATCCACATCTTACAATAATAATTATTATTATTCTTGTATTTAAATAAGAATAAGGAAAAATCCAAAAAAAGTTATAATTTTCACATTTTTTGCATATTATTTGATAACAATGAATACGTATTTTACTTTATGCGTTTATTATTAATACAAATTGCTTATGATAAATTATGATAAATAATGATAAATAATGATAAATAATAAGTAAATAATGGTAAATAATGGTAAATAATGGTAAATAATGATAAATAATGATAAATAGTGATAAATACTTATGATAAATAATGATAAATAATGATAAATAATGATAAATAATAATAAATAATGAAATAATGTGATAAAATAATGTGTAAATAAATGACAATTGTTATTTAAAGTACAGTTGCTGGTAATAAACAAGGAGGATGTAAAATGTGAACATTTTCATCCCAAGCACAAGTAGCAATTTCACCTTCAATATATAAATTAAAATCTACACCTAATACAAATTCCGTGTGCATATCATGTACATCTAATAAAGAATTTACTAACATAGTATCCCACAATCTCATTGTCATATCATAACTAACACTTGATATAATATTACCTTTATGTGGAGACCATTTTACTCTACGTATAGCATATTCATGTCCTCGAAGACAAACAATTTCATAATTTGGATTTCTTAAATCCCAAACTTTTACTGTATGATCAACTGATCCAGTTACTATTACATTTTCTTGATATTTATTCCAATCCAATGATAATATTTCATTAGAATGTGCACGAATAGTTTGAATTGATCGAGGAACTTTAGTATCCCAAATTTTTACTGTTTGATCCCCTGAAGCTGAACCAAATACATCGGAATTATAAGGTGACCATATGGTACTGTATACACAATTATTATGTTCTTCATATTTACTTATAGATTGTAATAATTCTGGATTCCACTAATAATAATAATAATAAATAATAATAATAATAAATAATAAATAATAATAATAATAATAATAATAATAATGTGATATTATAAATTATTAATATTATTTAATTATTAATTATTAATATTATTATAATTATTAATATTATTATAATTATCACTTGTATAAAAGTAAATGTGATAGTAATAAGTACCAATCGAATAGAATTATCCCAAGATCCACTGACAAAAGAATCTTTTTTTATTAAATTCCAGTGTATCGAAAATACTTCTCTTCCATGTTCACGCCAATTTCTTATAGGAAATTCCTAAAAAAAAATAATTAATTAATACAAAAATTAATATAAAAATTAATTTAATAAGATAATGATGATAATAATAATAATAATAATAATAAAGAATACCGGAAGAGCTATATCCCATAATTTTATAGAACCATCACCACTAGCTGTAACAATCTGATTTTCATTATTCTCACTCCAAGAACAATCAAATAATCCATCTTGTGTGTCGAATCTAAAAAAATATTTATAGTTTGAATATTTTTAAAAACAATAATAATAACTTTATATAACTTTAATTACAAAACACTTAATTCTATAATTCTTTTTTGCAAAATGATAATAAAATAAAATAAAATAATATAATATAAATATAAATAAAATAAATATAAAATAAATAAATGAATGAATAAATGTAAATATACATTCTTTCTATATCAATTCCATTAGGTCCAACCCCAATATTCATAATAAATAATCTTCCATTTCCAACCAATCCAAAATTTGCTGCTGTAGCACAAGCAATTTTATTTTCGATGAATGGACTATATTGTACCTTTAATTTAATTTGTTAATATTCATTTCTTTTATTTTTTTTCTTTATTTTTGTAAAAGAAAAATATAAAATTATTTATGATAAATTGGTCTATTATAGGACATAGATAACCTTAATTCTTTCAAACGATAATCTTTTTATTGTTCTTGTTTTGTTTTCTTATTCTGATATAAAAAAAAATCTTACCGAATACCCGTTATAACCTTCTGTACGAAATTTTATCATTTTTATGTTTAAACAGAAATAAAAAATTTGATGATCTAGATAAAAAGCTAGATAAAAAAGCAAACGTGATGAACTGATAAAGAAGGTTACCCAAAACACGTGATCAATACTGAACGGCTAATTTTTTTTTTTTTTTTTTTTGTATCAAAAAGTGAGTGAATTATTTATTATTGTTTATTATTCTATTTTTTAAAAAAGCCACGCGAATATCAAAGAGAAAATATCAAGCCACAAGTATTGAATACTTTCTGAAAATGACACGAAAGTCATGAAAGTCAATGATACTTGAAATACTTGAAATACTTGAAAGATAAATTATCTTAATAATCTAAAATTATCATGAAAATTAGTAAAAGAAATATCTAAAGTATAAAGTTATACAGAAAAAAAAAACCATTCCGTTCCAATTCATATAAATTTACGTTTTATGTAATTTATCAATGTGTATCGACCATATCGTGAAAATTAAATTAACTTCAAACTTCTTCAAGCCTTTTTAATAAAGGCTTTTTGTTTCCAAAATAAAAAAAATAAATAAAAAATATTCATTACAGAGTCTAAGCCATTGTTGTCGTTATTTAAGATATAGAGATGAAATGATCGATATTCTTTTTTTTATCTCTTTTTTTTTTTTTGAGGAAAAAATAAAAATAAAAATTCAATAAACAAAAATCGTCAATTCGTTCTTCTTCTTTAACCAAAGAGAAAGAAGAGAGAAGAAAGAAAGAAATGAGTGAAAAAGAATCATTAGTACGTGGCAGTAAAGGTTCTACTTCAATTCAAATGATCGATGATGATGATGAATATCTTGAGAAGTTTACTAATAATCCTCACAATGGAAAGAAGATTAATACCATCGTAATTTCACCAAATAATAAATATGTTGCTACTTGGAGTGAAAAAGATAATTCAATTGAAGGATGGAATATTAATTCGGGACATAATAAATTACAACTTGATATTCATATTACTTTTCATAATAATTTTCAAGATAAATTTAAATTAGTGGGATTAGAAGCAGTATCTGATAATAAACACGTAGTAGTTAGAGTAAGAAGAAATAATAAGAAAGATCCCGTAAACTTTGGTAAATTCTTTATACAAAATAAATTATTAAATTTTATTTTTTTATCGCAATTATCGCAATTGATAAATTCCTTTCTTTTTTTTTTAACAGAAATTATTAATATGATGACCAAACGTTTGATTTACGCGAAAGCTCCTAGTATTGATAAATTTGCGTCATATAAATGGTCATATCAAAAGAACGGAGATTTTATAATAGTTCTTAAAGAACCTAAATATCGAGCATTCATCTTTTCTACTACCACTCATACATATAAATTGAAAAATATGATTGAACTTACCAACTTTGATAATTGCATAATAACTCTTAACGGAAAACTCTTAGTTATTACTAAAAGAGTTAGATATGTTCTAATTCAATGGGATTTGGAAAATTTAGAATTTGAACAACAATATATTTTGGATTGGCCTTTAAAACCTAGTACAATTGATGTTCAAATGAATTTTGACGAAACTTTATTGGCAGTAACTGGAAAGTCACCAAAAGACTATCCTATTAATGATTTTATTGATAAAATTTATGTTTATTCTACCGAGAGAGGAGTACTTTTGAAAAAATGTAAAAAAAAAAAGAATTTTCTTTACTGATTTTATTCCTACATTTTTATACATTTTTATACATTTTATTAATTTTATTCAATTTATCAATTTTATTCAATTTATCGATTTTATTAATTTTATAAATATTAATAATATAATAATAATAATATTGTAGATATTTACGAAGACGAAGTGACCGTAAATAAGGTATACTTTATTGCTTCCAAAGTAGGTGAAAGATTACTCATTCTTTCTAGTGATGATACAAATCCCAATCGATGTGAAATGATGGATCCTTATACTCTCGAGAATCCTGTAGATACTCGAATTCTATTCAGACATTCTGAAGAATATTTTGATCCTTTCATCGTTAAAGATGATGATGTAATTGGTGTAAGTGAAGGTCAACTTTGGATTCAAAGTTTAATAAAAGATGATTGGATCAATTATCTAAGAAGTGCCTTGAAGGATTATAATGAAATTAATTCACCTTCCAATGGACCAATCTTAGAAAAAATGATTAAAGATGCTAGTGAAATCTTTAAATATAAATCACAAGATGATGATTCTGAATGGGCTGAAAGAGAACCGTTGAGAAAAGAAACTTTTGAAGGTCATTTATTTAGATGGATCTTAGATTGTGGTCAAGAAAGAATTATGTTGGAAGCACATAGATTTGATCCAGATAATGGAAATTGGAAACCAGTAGGAAATCCTAGAAATATTCTTCCGGAAAGTCATATTGAAAAAGAAGAAGTTGATCCAATTTTCGTAGTGCAATGTAAACTTTTAAATAACGAAGATTTAGCAATTATTACTCCCATGGGATTATTCATCTGGACGGTACTACCAAGTAAAGGTATTCGACTACTTTACTTCTGGGGAGATACCGAAATTACTTATAGAAAATCTTATCTCGGCGTGGCCATAATTCTTAATAAAATTCAAAATTATAAATTAGTTTTTACTGGTCATACACTTCCTCCACCAGATTTTGATCATATTCTTAATAGTTATGAAAGATTCGAAATTGGTAGAGATGCTGGTAAAACTTATCCATTTCGTGAATTATTATTGGATTATATTGAAGTTCATGCATTATTAGCTTATCATGGAGAACTTCTTCTCAAACGAATGATTTTTAATCACAAAGATAATTGGATTGAAATGTTATGTGATGAATGTGTTAAAAAATATCTTGACGATTTTATTCAATTGGGTTTTTTAAGTATTATCATAGCTTCTTTTCCTCCTTTATGTCAACGTCACCCTTCCTTTGTGAACAAATTTATGGCAAAAACTGCTTTAGAAATACCTCTCTTTACGAGAGATGAGGTGATAAATAATTTATCAACTGCTTCTCATTTACAAGCTTGCAAATCAGAAATTCAAATTTATGAAGCTTCTCATATTTCCCGAGTTTTAAAATACATACAATCCGCTTCTAGTAATTTTGCCAAAAATCATCCTTACTATCATGTTTTTTTCACCGCTCTTTTTATCCCTTATTGGCCATTTTTAATTTATCAATTTTATCAAAAAGCTTATAATCCAGATTTATATTTTCAACCTACAATTACCCTTGCAATTCCTATGCCCAAATATGCCACTTATCCCAAAAATACCAGAGGATGTTGGGATTTCATTTACCCTATCAAAAGTCCTTTTAATAATCTCGCCACTGCAAATGAAGTTTATAAATGGTGGAATGGTGAAGCATTATTAAATTTTAAGTGGAATACTTATGGAAAATATTATTATTATTCTTTGTGGCTTCTTTACACTATATTTCTCGCGAGTTTTGCAATTGTGGCGACGATTCCTGGAGATATTTTAGATTGGAATGTGGCAAAAGGTTTATTAATCACAACTATTGCATTATCAGGTTTACATTTGTTATTAGAGATTAGGCAATTTACTATTATTCCCAAAACTTATATTACAAATTTTTGGAATTTTTTTGGTAAATTTTATTTTTATTTTATTTTATCTATAAAAAATTAAATATATTTAAGTGGAATAATCATATTTTACTTCTTTCTTTCTTTTTTTTTTTTATGAAATAGATATTGCTGCTTTTTTACTTCCAATGATTTCATCAATATTCTGGCTACAAGAAAAAGAAATGCCTGTAGGGATTGTAACACTTTCAATCTTGATGTTGGAAGTTAAATTCTTACTTTTCTTTCGAGCCATCAGATTTTTCGGTGTATACTTTGCCATCATTCTCGGGGCAGGCGCTCGTGTCTTCTCATTTCTATTAATTCTTGGTATAATTGTAATAGCATTCGCTCACTCTTTACATTTATTATTAAGACCCGCGGAATCAATATCTTTGTCTACTCCAACTTATAATGACGATCCAAATAATCCTTGGAATATGGTTGACACAATGTATTCCACTACTTCAAATGGTACAATAAGTGATAGTGCAGTTTTGACTACTTTGCCTGGTTATGATACTAATCTGTTTATGGATATGGAGACATCACTTTTAGCCGTTTATCTTATGTTAAATGGTATGGTAAAAGTTACATTATAGTAGTAGAAATATTTTATAAATCGATTTTTTTTTTTATTTATTTTAATTTTTAATCTTTAATTTTTTTTTCTCGAATTACAGGTGACACAAGTTCAATCGGTTCTTGGTCGCTAAAAGAAAACAAAATACTCACCATAATTTTATTTATCTTCTCATTCTTTGCAAAGATATACTTGCTAAGTTTATTCATTGGTTTGTTAGGTAGAGCCATAGACGCAAAAAATAATCATGAAGCCTATTTGCAACAAAAAGCTGAGGTAAAAACTTAATTTTTCTATTATTTATTTATTTATTTATTTATTTATTATTATTTATTCTATTTATTTATGGATTCCATTTATTTTTATTTATTCTATTTATTTATTTATTTGATTATTCTATTTATTTGCTATATGTAATTTAGATTTTATCGGAGATTGAATTGGTTTATTTGTTTCCTCACCAAAGAAGATCGAAAAGTTGGTTCCCTGAATTGATGTAGGTCAAAATATTTGTCAATTTTACTTAATTAAAAATAAAGATAATATAATAATAATAATAATAATAATAATAAATCTTATAGTTACTACGAGGCGCACGTCGATCAAGTCCGTAAAACAGTTCGTCAAGTGACAGCTGGTGACGCGACCACTGGTGGTGAACTACCTCGTCTCTCACCTCAACTTTTGAGATTGCTTGAAATGAATGAAGCAGAATCAAAATCACAAGAGAAACGTCGAATAAAAGAAGAGGAACGAGAAAAGATTGATAAGATGTTAGAAACCATTGAAAAGCTAAAGGTGTTGTTACCTCAAGTACAAGAAGCTACCGAAAATGCAAGTTAATTAATCACGGGAAAAGAAATATTTCATTTTTTCGGAAAGTGATAAACTTGCGGGGGGTAATCACACAATGGTAATTTAACAATCCATATTGAAAGAAGAAATATATAAGAATGTACTCAATTCAATTTATTCTCAATAATTGTCTTTTCATTGTTTTCTTTTTATAATTAACGAGCTAATCATCATTATACGAAAGATAACTTTCATTATTTCCCATTTTGAAAGGGATTTTTTTTTTTTGTTACCCTGCAGAAATTTCATTTTATTTTTTACATAGTTATCCTCTGACGGAATATATTTTCTGCCCTCACGTGTTAATACAAATTCCCGTATTTTTATTATTTTTATCATATCATTTTAAACTTTATTCTAAGTTTTTCATTTTACGTGTTTTTAAAGTTTTTTTTTTAAAAAAATGATAATAAAAAAATGAAATTATTACTATGAATACAGCAAAATAGAAATAGATTACATGCATGACAATGAACGTGGTTAAAATTTATTTTTAAAATTATTAATTAATTAAAAACAATTAATTATTTGTTGTTTTTAACTTTGCTTCAATTAAACAAGAGACCTACCCAAATTGCTGAATAACATTTTATTGTAACTTGAAGAGGAATTCCACCTCGCAGCTCGAAATTAATGTCATTAATTCAATTAATTTCAATTGATTCCAATAATTTACATTTATTTATGCATAAAATAAATTACTAATTACATAATTAGATCGTAAGGTTTGAAAGGAAAAGATTATAATTATCATGCGAATAGGATTACAATACAACATCAATTCACGTAATTACGCGTCACGCAACTTTCATGATATGATATTGGATCCCAACGACAATTTAAGTAATATTCATTATTTATATTGTTTATTCATTATTTTTATCATTTGGTAAATCGGCTGATAATATTTCCAATTGTAACAAAGAAAACTTTTTCTATGGAAAATCTAAAAGTTATAAATAGGAATAATTAATATAATAATAGATATATGGATAATTTTGGAAATTCTATACAAAGATTTTTGATCACCCGATCTTCACTAAAACGAATAAAAAGTATAAAAATATCAAAAAATATCAAAAATAATAATAATGTAACAAATAATGTATAAACACAATTAGAAAGAACTTGATCAAATAATAAAATTTATATTATTATGTAGTTTACGAATAATATTATTTAAGATGAATTCTTTGCGTCGATTCATTTGTCATACCTTGATGAGAATATTTGCGTCGCTAAATAAAGAAAAAAGAAGGAAAATATCGTCCTAGTTGGAGTAAGAAAATATGCAAAGAAAACGATTTTGATTTATTTTGTTTATGCATCATGTGCAATTTTTTTTTATTAAGTGATTCAATACTAAAAATCTTGTTTCATAGCACTTTTTTTTTTTTAAAAAAAAAAAAAAAAACAGAAGTAGCAAAATTAAAAAGAAGTTTTTCGGTACAACACAACAAAAGGCCGTTTTGAAAAATTACGCACACATAAAATTCAATAATTATTGTAATTGCAGATGTACATACATTACTTTTCTTTCGTTGATGATTTATTAAATGAAACATTTTGTGAATGTTATTGCATGTTATTTAAATGCATATTTTTATTAGTTATTTTAAAAAAAATAAAAATGTATGTGTTAAATTATATTAATTTTTTTTTTTTATAATAAAAGTAACTAACTGAATAGAAATTACGGAAAATAAATTCTTTTGAGAGTAAATTAAGAAACAGGAATTTTCTAAATTTGTAACTAAAAAAAACAATTTGATAAATAAAGTAATAATATAATAAAGTCATTGATCTATTATTATCTGGTCTAGTCTATTATTATTATTTGGTCTAATGAACCTGTTTATATAAAAACCGAGTTATTGTACAATAACACATTCACAAATTTTACAAATATTATATATTTTATTTATTCTTACAAAGAAGACGAAAAAAAGACTAATATGTAGAGGGTAAAGAGTATGAAGAGTATGAAGAGTATAAAACGTATAGAGAATATGATAATGATAATAATGAATATGATAATGAATATGATGATAGTGAACAAAAAAAGTATCGAGAATAATTTAAGAATATGCATAAAACAAGTTAGTTTAATCGGAAAGAAAAAAGTGATCGACAGATATGTTTATGTGTACAAATAAAATTGAAAAGTTACATTTAATTACTTTAAAGTTATTTTTGTGAAGAAATTAAAACTCTACATATTTTTGTACGTTCTAACGTTAATTTGTAACTTTTTACGTTAATTTGTAACTTTTTACATTAATTTGTAACTTTTTACGTTAATTTGTAACTTTTTACGTTAATTTGTAACGTTCACCTTTACTTTCACCTTTACGTTCACCTTTACGTTCACCTTTTATGTATTAATGTTTCACCACTTAATTTTATTAATAGATTATATTAACTATTACTAGTATTTACCAATAACGCGTCTTCGGTTCTCCCAAATCTTCGCATATTGCGGTTTTTATTACAATGTTTATATTACGCTTTTATGTTTTATATCATATTTATTATATTTATTTATATGACGTAATAATAAAACACACACTTGATTTCATAATTTCATATAAAATTTTTTTTTCTATTCTCTCCAAAAACATTTACAAATAAATTTTCATTTTTTATTGTTATTTATCAGTATAGTAAATGGATTGCTCTTTTTATATTTCTATTACACAATCATACTTTTTATTTGACTTTCATTATATACTATTATTATTATATACTATTATTATATACTTTTATTATTATTTAGATTATTTATATTATTATTTTTTTTTAAATTATTAAATTATTTTAATTATATTATTTTAATTACACTTTAATTATACTTTTTTTTTTTATGCTTCATTATTTAATCATATTTTAAACACAAAATTTATATTTCCCTTTTCTCTTTTTTTCTTTTTACATACACGCCACAAACACGCACACATCTAATCACACACGACATCACGAAACGCAACACATATTATAATAATTATAATAAATTATAATTATTATTGTAAATTGTATAACCACTTGACTACTACTGGAATTAAAAAAAAACCTGATGATTAAATTTTATTATTATTTATTTATTTATTATTGAGTAGATTTTTTTAATAAAAACGTCTCTTCTCACAGACTCAACCAAAAAAACTTTGCGACTGTTTTCTAACCATCCATCAAAACAAAATTACAAAACACAACATTAATAATAACATAAATATATCGTACACCAAATATATATATTATATATATATTATACGTAATTTATTTATATTTAACAGTGAGGACGTCACCCATATTCAATACCAAATTTATCTATTATTTTTATTTTTCTCTCTTATAATAATAGAAATTTTGACAAAGAAAAAATAAGAATTTTTAATAATTTTAATAATAATAATAATAATAATAATAATAATTTTAACTTCTTGAATCAAATGAGTACCACCACTATTTTCTCTAAAATTATTCCTTCCTTTTTTCCTAATACTAATCAAACTACTATTCCTTCTCCCGCTTCCTCTTCTACCACTATTATTACTACGGCTTCGCAAGATAATACTCAAGATCATGGATGGATTGAAAAAGGAAATCTGACTAATTTAAATAGTAATGATATTCGTAACACAACAACAACATTGGTACCTATAAATAATGAAAAAATTTATTCAAAAAAAAATACGGACTTTCAAAATAATCTTTCTCCACCATCGCCTATTATCCGTAGTAATGAGAAGAATATTGCACATTCAACTTTTATACCAATAAATAATAATACAAATAGCAATACAAATAGCAATCCAAATAGCAATCCAAATAACAATACAAATAGTAATACTATAATTATAACTGCGAATACTATCAACGAAAGCAAAAACGATAATAAAAGCAGGAACCAAAGCAATAGAAATAGTATTTTCGGTAGAAATATTAGTACAAATATTAACAATATTAGTAATAATATCTCTGAAATTGAAACAATTGTTAAAAATAATACAAAATTTAATAATAATAATAATAATAATAATAGTAGTATCTCTGGTGGTATAAAAGGTATCATTGGAATGTTTACTTTTTCTTCTTCCTCTTCTAAAGAAAAATCTTTACCATCTGAATTACCTGAAAGATCTATAAAATCTATTGATAAACCTTCTAGCGAGTTGGAAAATAAAAATTATTTTATTCATTCGTCTAAAACAATGAATAATAGACCAGTTTCTGATTTGGCTTCCTCTCCGAGCATTCACGCAATATCTGGTCATCACACTACTTTATCCGAATCGTGTTTACCATTAAATAATAATAATTATAATAATAATTATAATTATAATAATAATAATAATTATAATTATAATAATAATTCTCCTTCTTCTACTACTTATTCTTCTCCTATTACTCATTCTTCTCCTGTTACTTGTTATTCTTCTTCTTCCCTTGGACAACATGTACAAGAAGAAACTAATAAAGGCAATTCAAATCATTTAAATCTCACAGTTGAGACAAGTGTAAATGGTTTTAACTCTAAAGTACAAAATACGCCAATGTCTACTCAATTTCCTTATAACAGCGGATTATCTCAAAATAATCAAAATAATCTTTTTCCTGATATTCATCCTTTACAATCACATAATTATCCACATTCACAAGAATCCTCTTATAACACTTACTCCTATGCTTCTTCTATAACCAGTAATGCTAGCGTTAATTCTTTTAATTCTGAACAAACTCCTAATTTCTATTCTGACCATCGAGTCGCTTCACGTGAATCTCCCCATCCTATTTTGCAACCTTCGTATGGTTTTAGTAGTAGTTCAAGTAGTCTTGCTGAACCATTTCCTAAACCCATCAATTCCTCTCCTCTGAATTCTTCTACTTTGGATAACAATAATAATCCTTATCAACAAAATAATCCTTATCAACAAAATAATCCTTATCAACAAAATAATTCTTATCAACAAAATAATTCTTATCAACAAAATAATTCGGATCAACAAAATAATTCTTATCAACAAAATAATTCTTATCAACAAATTAACTCTTATCAACAAAATAATCCTTATCAACAAAATAATCCTTATCAACAAAATAACCTTTATCCACAAAATAATTCTTATCCACAAAATAATTCTCAGATGAAAAATAAAAATAATCTTAATAATTATAATAATACTAACAATAATAAAAATAATAATAATAATAATGATGATGTGGAATCAGAAAAAAATCAAAAACGAAAAGGTAGGCGATTGAGTACTTTATTCAGAAAATCAAAAAAATCTCATCCCGATTATCCTAAAGCAAGACAAGCATTAAATGATATGCAATTTCATGAAGCTATTAAATTATTATCAGACCTTATTATACAATTCCCTCAAAGTTATTCAATAAGATGTGATCGTGCTTACGCTTCATATCTAGTGGAAGCATGGGATCGGGCTTTAAATGATTTGGATATTTGTATTAACAAGAAACCAAAGAGATCTTATGCTTATTCTTTACGCGGTGAAGTTCATAGATTAATGGGTCACAATGATAAATCTTTAAGTGATTTAAATAAATCTTTAAAACTACATAAAAATACTTTCTCGTTACGTGCAAGAGCTGAAGTTTATAGATCTGAGAAAAGATATGAAGCAGCTATTGACGATTTGAATGAAGCTTTAGAGATCGAACCTAAAAATATTGATACTCTTATTAGGAGAGCTAAAGTTCATTGTGCCCTTGGACGATTTGTTCTGGCTATAGAAGATTTAAACGTTGCTTTAAAATTAGGTGGTAAAAATACTTCTTCGATTTTAGCTAATCGTGGTGAAATTTTCAGAATAATTGGAAGACATGATTTAGCTTTAATAGATTTAAATAAAGCTTTAGAAACAGAAGAAAGTACTTTAGCGTTAGAGAGAAGAGGTGCTGTATATAGATCATTGAATAATGATCAAGAAGCTTTAAAAGATTTCGATCGAATATTACAATTAAATCCACGAAGTTTCTTTGCTTATAAAAATAAAGCAGAAATTTTAATATCCATGGGAAATTTTGAAGATGCATTAACATTTATTAATCTCGCATTACAAGTTGATCCGAATTATTTTTCGTTATTAAAGAGTAGAGGAGAAATTTATCAATCAATGGGATATTATACTGAAGCAATAAAAGATTTTACTAGTGCATTGAAAAAAGATCCTTACAATACGCAAATTTTAAGAAACCGAGGTGAAACATATCGAATATTACAACAATTTGACAAAGCACTTAAAGATCTTGATAAATCTTTAGAAATTGAACCACATAATGCTTATGCATTAGCGAGAAGAGGAGAAGTTTATAGAATGTTAAGGCAAGGACCAAAAGCATTATTGGATTTAGATGAAGCAGTTCGTCTGGAGCCTGCAAATGCTTTAGCACGCGAAAGTCGTGGAGCAGTTAATCGAACATTTAGAAGATACGAAGAAGCATTAAGAGATTTAGATGAAGCAATTTCTTTAAATCCAGATTCAATATTTGCATATACCAATCGAGGAGCAGTTTATTATATGTTACGAAGATATAACGAAGCATTAATGGATTTAAGAAAAGCCTTAAAGTTAGATCCTAATCATATATTTGCATTGGAAACACGAGGAGCTTTATATAATGTTTTAGGAAGATATGGAGAAGCATTAGTAGATTTAAATTTAGCAATAAAATTGGATCCCACAAATGTTTGGGTTTTGACGTATCGAGGAGAAGTTTTATTATCATTAGAAAGATATGAAGAAGCATTAGAAGATTTAAATAAAGTTTTAGCAGAATTACCTGATTGGGGATATCCACTAGCACTAAGAGGAGCCGTTTATCGAGCATTAAAATCTAATATGAAAGCATTATTGGATCTTGATCGAGCTTTAAATAATATAAGAGATAAGGCATTTAATATTGATCATGAAACAAAAGCCTTATGTAATCGAGGAGCGGTATATTTTAATATAGGAAAACATAATGAAGCTTTAATGGATTTAAACAAAGTGTTATTGAGGGATCCACAAAATTTATTCGCTTTATGTGAAAGATGTTCAATTTATGAAGCATTAGGAAGAAATGATAAAGTATTAGAAGAGATAGAATATATATTTAAAATTGATCCAAATAATGATTTTGCGCATAGTTTACGAGCGAAACTTGTGGGAAAATCATGAGAATCGTACGACATGACACGAGAAACAATTTTCTATAAAAATTTTTTATTTTATATTTTGTATTAAAGATTTCGAATTTTTATTCAATTTATTTTTATGTATATTTTCTTTCTGTATACAATAATTTAATAATTTAGATATATTTTTATTTATTTATTTATTTATTTATTTATTTATTTAGTAATTATTTTAAAAATTATTTCGTCCAATTGTTTATATCCAACAAATGTTTATATTAACAACGAATAAATTATATTAATTATGTACATTTATTAATAATTACTAGGGAATCAGGATCTGATATAAGTCCGGAGCAATATGTAATATAACAAAATATTTAAATTTATCTATTTATTGATTGTCATGTGAATCAGGATTTTTGCTTTATTGATTTTGAGGATTCTTAATTACCCAGAAATTTTCTACCCCTCGAATTCGTTAATTTTATTGGTCTGTAATCAAACAGGTGATCGGGAAGATGTGACAAATATTTGGGTAACAAATATGGTTTTCACACAAGCAAAAAATTCCAAGTCCCCCAGAATATTTAATAAAAATCAATTTTCGAAAGGTGTGATACACGGTGATAAATATTATACCCCTGACAAACTCTAACCCTAACCCCTGAAATTTATGTAAAAAAATGTGTGGAGATAGAAAAATTTATGGCAATACTGGTAATACTGGGGAAGATAGGATCCTTATTCTGTGCAGGTGATCAAAATTATTTCATATACAAGTTTCATACAATAAATAGTAAATAGTTTTCATGTTAAAAAAAATTTTAAGTCTTTAGAATATTTAATAAAAATCAATATTTAAAAGGTATAATACATAGTGATAAATATATTATCTCTTACTAACCTTAATTTTAACTTTTGTGAGTACAGAATAAAAATCTTTATCTTTTTATGTATGGGTTAAGATTTTTTTAATTTTATTTATTGAATGTTACATGAAATCAAAATTTGTATAACACATTATAACATTAGTTAAATACAAAAAAATCACTATACTGAATAATGATTTCTATATTATAGATTAGTTAAAAATTGAAAAAATTAACTACTATCTTATTACATCCTATATTATAAATTAGTTAAATTAAAATTTCTTTTCAGTACAATAATTCTTTTGTATTTGACCTGTATAAAGAGTAAAATTCAAATTTTTATTATAAATAATTTTTTACTATATTTCAGATAATATAAATTACTTGTAATTATATTTCTTAGCTAAATAATTATATCAATTACATCAATTAGTAAAACAATTATATTAAATTATATTTACAAATTATTTTACTTAGTAATATATTGTTGATCATGATCTAACCTTCAAGGATATGATTAACTATTAGTTAAAAATACAGTAATTAAACTAAAATATATTACTACTAACTAATTTATACTACAAAAGTATGATGTCTGAAAGATTTAGATATTATGAATTTGTTCAAAAGAGACAAGATTTTAAAATTTTTATAAAGGTTTAACTAAACTATTCTTAAAGAATAAGATATAAACTAAATTATATAAATATCAAAAAAAATTATTTCCATTTGAAATTCATTTTATTAATAATGAACTTTCTCAAGTTTGATGGTCATCAATTGAAAATTTTTTTACTAAAGATAATAATTATATTTGTCAACTTGTGATAAAACTTTTTGCAGTCACTTCCTATGTTACTGGATATGAAAGAATTTGATCAAGGCTTGAATGGTATTATAGAAAAAAAAAATAGTCTTTCTTTGAATAAACTTAAAAATATGTAAAAATTGGTTATATTTTATCTTTCTAATATAAAAAAAGAATTATCATATTATAGAATAGGAAAATAACAGAAAAATTATAAGAAATAATATAAATGCAAAAATATTTGATAATGAAGAAAATGAAATTAATGAATTTGAAGATTATAAAAATATTAATTTTAAAGAAGAAAATAAACTTGAAATTAAAAATTTAGTTAATTTAAATATAACAGTATTTGTAACAAATAATGTTTTTATATATATTAATAATAGTAATTTTAATAAAATAAATAAAAATAATGAAGATAATAGTAATATTGAATATGAAAATTGGAATCTATATGAGACTGTAGATAAATATAATAATATATATATTTTATTACTATTAATAATATTATATAATTAATTTTTTATTTTTTATAAATATTATAATTAATATTTTTAATTGTAATTTTAAATTTAATAATTAATTAATTAATAAAATATATATTGTGATATTAAACAATTATTTTAAAATATTAGTTTTAAAAAAAAATTTATAAATCTTAATTAATTTAAATATAATTTGAAATTTAAATAATAAAAAAGGTTAAAGAGTTTATTAGAATTTAGAAAATTTACAATAATTTAAGAGGTTTAAAACAGTTTAGAAGATTTAGGATAGTTTAGAAGATTTAAGATAGTTTAGGAGGTTTAGAATAATTTAGAAAGTTTAAAATAGTTTAAGAAGTTTAGGCAAAAGGTTTAGAATTAAAATAAAATTCTGAAAGGTTTACGAATTCAAAAATAGATTTAGGATTACCTTTTAGTTATATATAACAAATATATCACTAAATTAATTACCTTTTATTAAAATTAGTATAACTGTAAATTAGTAGATCATGTAGCATAGTAAATTAAAAAAATATAAATATAAACTCTCTTAACCTTGAGAGTAAAACAGATTTACAGATTTGAAATAATCAATATAATAATATTTTTTTTTATACTTATCTTTATAATTTCTTAATACTTAACCTATATTTTTTATATCTTATATTTTATATTTATCTCATTACTTATTTTTTAATAAAGTTATATCTTATTTAATTTTAATATTAATCTGTTAATTTATTAATTTGTCATATAAAACTCTTTGTAATAAACTATATAGATCAAATTTAAAAGATATACCATACTGAAAAGAAATTCTGATTTTAACTAATTTATAATATAGAATGCAATAAGATTGTTAATTGTTACTATATATGTTTCCAAAATTGATTTCTAATTTTTAGAATATTTAATCTTTTGAGATTTATTCAGAATCTATTCTATATATGGAAGTAAAAAAGATATATTTAATCAAAGAATTTATCTGAATAGTCAAAAAATTTTTCAAAATTTCAAAATAATTTTATGTGCAAATATAATTATTAACAATTTTTAATTAATCTATAGTATAGAAATTATTATTCGGTACAGCCAGGATTATATATTTTACATGTCTTTAACTTTTTTAACTGTTCTTATGTCACATGTTCTATTGTCTCTATCCTTAAACAGTTTACAAATAAATATTAAAATTTTATAGATATATATAAAAATTAATTTTAAACAACTTTAATTAATAGTTTAAAATAGGTTTTATAATAAAATTTTGTATTTATATTTTAAAAAAATAATTTTTGTTCTAATTTTATTTTAAGTATATTTCATAACAATCCTGAATACAACAATTCTTTTATATTTAACTAGTGCTATTTGAACTCTCACATTTTCTTTAATATATATATCTTATGACAGATCAAATACAAAAGATATATTATACCAAAAAGAAATTTTGATTTTAACTAATTTATAATATAAAATATAATAGAATAGCTAATTTTTATTAATTTTTAACTAATCTATAATATAAAAATTACTATTCAATACAGTAATTCTTTTTATTTAACTAGTGTATTAAGTAGACAAGCTAATTTAATATACTAAAACTTCTTTATAATAAATAATTCATTTTATAATATTTTCTTAAAATCTTTGATAAATAGTTTAGTTAAGTTAATCTTAATGATCCTCATGAAATTGTAATAAATTATTTAAATGATTTAAGATATTTGTTTAAGAATATTTGTTATCTTTTAGATCCTTGTCCATAAGTAGATATGACAATAATATAAAATTATTTAATTAAATAATAAAATTATTTAATTAAATAATAATATTAATTAATTTCAGATAATTATATAATTGACTTCACTTTAAATATTTTTTAAATATGATAACTTTATTCTACTGACTTAGTTAATATCTCAAAAAATTAATTAACTAATTTAACTAAATTAACTAAATTATACATATTTCTAAAATTGATTCTGATTTTTGAGATATTTCATCTTTTTGAGATTTACTCATATGAAAGTAAAAAAAATATTTAATTAAGTGTATTTTTAATTAAGAAATTTATCTAGGTAATCAAAAAATTTTTAAATTTTAAATAAAATAATTTTGTTTTCTATAAAAAATTATTTTAACTTTTTTTTTCAAAATTGTAATTTCAGGATTTCAAAATAATTTTATATACAAGTATAGACTAAGTTAGTTAATATCATATTGATTTGAAATATTATGATTAAATTATTACAGTAATTTTTCTTTTATAATAATATATACTTTTAACAATAAAATTTAAATTTATTTTATTTTTTTTTTATTCTATATCTCTTTTTGATTATTTTATTTAAAAAATAATTAATTATTAAATAATTATTATTACAAAAAATAAAGAAATTTCTTTAATTTTAATATTTAATAATTAGTATTTATTTTTAATATTCTTAATTTTTTTAAGAACATTTATAACAAATTCAAATAATTTTAATACATTTTATTTTTTTTATTTAATTATTTTATTTTGAATTTGGATCTAAATTTAAATTCTGATTTATTGATAATTTGTAAAGTAACTTAGATGATGAATTATAAATTTATGTAGATTTCTGAACTAAAACATATATATTTTATCATATATAATTTTTTTTACACACAACTGTTATTTAAGAATGAATTAGTATATAAAAAAGTTACCTAATGATACATTTAGTATGTTATTCACTTTCACAGAAAATTTTTTATTGTTTTATTATTTAAATAATATTACATATTATATTATTAAATTTAATATAATAAATATAAAAAAATATATTTATTTATTTACTATTCTCTATTGTATTCTATTTTCTATAGTATAAAAGTATCTGTTATTTGAATTAAAACTTGTATTCTCTACTGTATATTATTATATTTTCATAATTAAATAAAAATTAAATTTTATAATCATTCTTTCATAAATATATATATATTATTTATTATAATTTTATTATTATTTATTAATTTAATTATAAAAATTATTATGTTTTTCTATTAATATAAAACCATATTAAATTAGTTAGCTAAAAATATTTAGAAGTTTATATAGTTTTTTAATATACACTTTCCTAGCAAAAGTATTTGTGAAATGATAAAATTTGAAAATAATTGTTAAAGTTAAAATACTAATTGTAACCCAATAAGTGATCTAAATTGTACAAA